ACGACCAACTGAGCACTCGGTGCGCGCGAGCGACCTTGTACAGCTCGTCCGCGTTGTCGAAGGTCATCATGTTCACGCCGGCCTTCGCGGCGCTGCGGATGAAAGACACAGCCTTGCACGGATTGGCGAATATATGCGGGAGGGATCAACCGCCGCGCCTCCCAAAGACAGGACTTGCGAGATCTCCCCGTTCGATGCACATCCGAAACCTGCACCCAAGCCAGCGAGCAGACGCAGGACATAAGGGCCGGGTTACATTTGACCGCTGCAGAAGGAGGATATGAGACCTTGCGCCAACCCCACGAATCTCTGCAACGCACCGTAATAAGCTGAATTTCCGGCAGCGCAGCCTGCCAGCGTATATGCTGCCGGTAAACTTGGCTCAGATCAGCCACGAAGAAGCGCCCTCCGCGTCCGTCTCATGTTCTACTGCCAACCGTGCAGCTTCATCACACCATTGCGCCAGTGCACTTCCGGTGTCCTTGATGGAGCGGCGCTAGATCGGGAAAGATGGTGGTGTTATCAACATCGCAGGGGTATCGTTATCGATATCCAGATGGGGAGTGCCTGTGAGATTGAGAGTCGCGGTCGACGAGAGATCGGTTGAGCGCCACGTAGTCTGGAATTCAATGGCGGCGGGCGCCTGGAGCGTTTCGACGAAGGACATGATGGTTGTCGTCGTCGTTGTTGGAGTGGTTGTGGAAGTAGTAGTTGTCGTTGCAGTCGCGTGTGTGGAGGAAGATTCAGAGGGTATTAGCTTTGCTAAAAAAGCAGCGGCTTTTCTAATGGGATCCGACAGATCTATGGTGTTTTTGAATCGGTGACTCTGATTACCGAGCCTTTAACCGCCACGGACGGCAGTTCCGGGCGGAAGGACGGTAACGAGAGCGCTTGTCAGTCGGTGAGGGTCCTCGCCGGATGGGGCAAGGATGGGGCTGGTAGGCTTGGAGGCCTGGTGGGTTTGGGCGGAGAAAGTAGGAGCGAACAAGGAACGCGTCCGGGAGTAGATAAGTGATATATAAAAACGACGACGCGGGAGTCGTGTCAAGGGGTTCACCTGGAGGTGTAAGGTGAGTATATGGTGAAAGGTATGTGGCGTCCGGGGATACGCACCACGGACGGACGACCACCTGAGTGAGAAGTTTAGTCCCGACTATACAGTAGATGTACGTGACCAGAGATGTACGCACTCAAGGGTCAAGAGACGAAGGTCCCTGTTTCTTGCTTGATCAGGAATATTGGGCGAGCTTGTGGCTCCGCTGAATCGTTCTGTCGATACGACCTGGCGATGCCTGTGGAGAGATGCAAGAGATGACGATTGCAAAAATTTTGTCGTGTTCCGTTTGGTCATCACTTTGCTGTGCTGAGCTGCTATGCAGCCGGATCAACCGGGTCGAGGTTGTCCGCTACTAGTACTAATGAGCCCTTGGTGTGCCATGTTTTTGCATCGCTCTAAAGATCCGCGTGATAAGCATCGACCATGTCCTTCAGGTACTCATTCCAATCGGGCTATTGCGATACACGTCCTGTCAAATTCTCTGCGACATGGGACTCATGGAATCAAAGTGCGTACCACATCAAAATGTGCATGTGGATCCCGTCAACCGTCGCTCTCGCTCTAAATACGCAGCTAACTTAACTGGTCTAATTCACACAAGCAATTCAATTGTGGTTGAAGACTGAGGCGCCTTTGCACTGTGCCACACCCGACCTTACCTCAGTGCGGTGCAGCACAATGGTCGGCCTGCTGCTGCCGCCGATCTTTGCCCAGCTGCCATCTTCGCGGCATGCTTTTGAAGAAGAGAAGGGGCGAGGCTGATGCAAGCACCTGTTCAGTCATTATACAGGTGTACTCGGAAACCTTCAATCGCTTGTAAGCGCCCCGGGAAGCTATAAGTGCATCGTCTGGATTCCGGATGCCGTGCCGAGATGCTCTCTCTCCCTCTCCCTCCGGAAATATGGCGAATTATCTTCGGTTTCACTGTGGAGATTTCCGGAAGTATCTGCTACACAACCGAATATTGCCCATTCCAGGGCGTCCAAGAGCTAGCCGCCTGCTCCGAGGTACGATCTTGGAAGCCGACACATCTGAACACTACAATCTCTCGCAGGAACACTACGCCCAGCGGCTGAAAACTTGCGTACTCTTGGTCACTGTGTGCAAGAGCTGGCAAATTCTGGCCGCGGGATTGTTTTATCACGATATTCGGCTTCAGAGCTGCCGTCATCTCCCAGATCTGTTTCACGGTCTTCGACGAATAGACGGCGAGGGCGAATGTTTCGGTCGCTACGTGCGACGCCTCGAATTCCACACCACCTCGTCCGGATCTCCGAGTTGTCTTCCCTTGTCAGAAATACTTCAGCTTTGCCCCCGTCTGGAAATTCTCGTTCGACCCTGCCCAGAAAGATGGGACCGAATCAGCTGCTCATTGCCCTTCTTGAAGAGACTGGAGTGGACGTATGATTTTCCACTAATGGACGAGGCTTCCTCCTGACCAGAGCCCCCAGTGAAACAGACAGCAACAGGAGCGACATTCCAAGTCGGCTATCCGGGATCCTGAAAGCTGCTCCAAATATGCGTTATCTGGCTTTGACGTCAGACAGACCAGATGTCCTGGCCGAAATTTCTCTAGCGCCAGCGCTGCAGACGTTGGTGTTGCACCAGTCTGAACTGGCTACGAGTCCAGCTGTGTCTAGCGCATACATCTCGTCTCGTATCACGACCCTGGTTCTACACAGTGTGATATCCCCGGCACTTGTCTCGTTTATAACTCCCCTGGGCCGACACTTGAAGGTCCTCGAGTTTGCGTTTGCGCCTCACGTCGCCTACTCGTCCAGTCAGATGAACAAACTGCTGTCGCACTGCCCGAATATCGAAGAGCTCGTCTACCATCTCGGGGCCCCAGAAATCGCATCGCTCCCCTCGCATCTCCAGCTTCCTCGCATCAGACAGGTGCGGCTGAGGATCGATCCGGAAACGTGGTTTCCTTATAAACATGTGGTGTGGGTCTTCTATCCAATGCCCGCTGGGATCCAGACCCGTTGGCTGAAGAGGATCAATTCAGATTAGCGCAGTTCCAGATCTTGGCCGGATCCCCATTCCCGGGATTACGAACTATCTTTCTCCATGACACGTCGAGGTCCTTCGTCCGCAGGTCGTCAGCCCCGAAAATTCTGCAACTTATGAAAGAGCGAGGTCTTGCTGTTGTTTATGAAAATGGCTGTCCCGTAGACTTGGTCTAAGAATTTACCACATTGCCAATCGTATAGCTTGCTCGATCAAAAACCGCCCAATTAATGGAAACCTGCAAGCTCTCATCTCAACCATCTTTATCTTATCTACGCGTCTTACCGTCCCATCACTAAATCACGATGGTGCATCTTGCGCACACTTGTCCAGTAGCACTACCATGTTGCCTGTCCGCCGTTTAGCGCAGAGGTCCACAACGACCCGCTGCGTTCTAATCTCATGTCGGGGTATGCGCACGAAAGGCAGGGTGCGACCCATGTCCTGGGAAGAAGAAAAAGACCAAGACCACCTCATCGAAGTGAGTGTGCAGTGAACCCTAGTGAGGCCCCTTCCGAACCGACAACCACAGGGCCTGGAGGAGATCCTCAAGGGAGCCAAGCGAAAACTGGCTGAAGAGGAGAAAGCCCGGACTGTCCCTCAGTTCGTACAAGAACAGATGAGACCAGGCGCCGCCAAACCCGCGGCCGCCAAGCTCGGGCCCAAACCCCAAACACCTGTTACTTCAGGTGTGTGTGTCGGGTCGTTCCCTCTCTCCGCGCCAGCTTGACTGTCTCTCAGCTTTCAACGACTCGTTATGGGACGAGATGATCAGCAAGGCGGAACAAGCCAGGCTCGCTCCGTTCAAGATCACGTCGCGTGAGCGTCCTCTACACAAATCCACTCCTCGCATTGTTCATAATGGAAATCCCCCAGTGGACGCACTCAAAGCGGCGTACGACGAAGCCGATATAGACATGAACCGACCACCGTATCCGTCGGTCGACCGACTGAAGCCGCGCCTTAAAGTCGCGTACGAGATATACCACTCCATCCCGCGCAAAATCGCCATGAAACGGCTCCACTCGCGCTAACAGTAGCTGAATCCCTTGCCGGAAATAGCGTTGTGCCCTCGCAGCCCTCCGCGCGCGCAACCTCAATTGAGAACGGCGCGGCGATGCGAGAATCCTCTAATCCCTCTGCTCTCCAGCTCCTGTGACTGCGATTCTTCGAGTGTATCATTGGTGCTGTAGTGGCTACGCGGGGGGGACTACTCGGTGCAAGAGGATAACAGCTGGGATAGGTGTTCTAACAGGATATATGAGAAATGAAACGTGTCTTGACTCCACCATGGGATCGTAATGACAGATATGCTGGCCGCATAAGCTGTTGCAAGGGAAAGCAAGCACAGTGTCTCAAAACGATTGATATCAATTACTCGAACAGTCCCTTAGCAAACGTTAATGAAGTCCTCGTCGTCCTCGACCCAACCAAGCGTCGAATGCGCGATTCCAAGACGCAAGAGCATCGTCCCTAACGTCTCCTTGGGCTTGTTATCCTCGACATGTTCATCCTCACCGTTCTGGGGAACCTCCCATCCACAGTTACCCTCCGAATCCTCGACCTTGACCCGCTTGCTTTCTGGATCATCATCGCCCCACCCCCATGATTCCGAAAACCGGCGCTTGCCGTTATCGGCCTCGGCGGATTCACCGCCGCTGCTGTTGTCCTTGACCAGATCCCAAACTTGCCACGCGACGTCTCTTCCGGCCTCGGTCCACTTCTTCACTAGACCCTCCAATCCGTCTTCCTCGCCTTCCTTTTTCAGCTTCACCGCGCGTTTCAACACATGCGCTCGATGCTCGAGAGATTGGATCGTCGGCGTCGGTCTCGCAGACGATGGAGGAACAGACGAGCCGAGGGCAAGGGGAGATTTGAATTGGGCCGCAGCACGCTTCGTTCGATGTTTGTTCAAGTCAGACCCGACGGGCTGCGCTGAGACCGGCATCGGCGTCTCGTCAGGTTTACTCAGAAGCATCGGCTCTGGGACCGTCATCCTCGGTGCCCGAAACGGCTTGGCGAGCTTCTTGTGTTGTTGCTTATGGAAAGCCATCGTCGGGCGTTTGGGATTGGAAGATGACCAGTCTCATCCTGTGTATTTGTTTGATTTCGACCATATCGCATACAAGAGAAACACACCTCTCGCTTGCGTTTCTTGCTTCCATCGGTGTCTTCATTGGTACATTGTTCGTCTTGGATTGGAATGTTCTCATTAGCGCTTTCGAGGGCAGATTCGACTTGCAATCCGTCCGATATGACTTCAGATTCAACACCGACATCTACCACGAACGCAGGATTCACTGAAGATTCTTCGAGCGTGTACTCTCCAGGTTTTACTTGAACATCTGATACGTCCATGTCTTCATCAAGCTCAGAAGAAGGATTCATCGGACTCGAGCTCGGGGGCAGTGTATCAGCGCCGATCTTTCAAAGTGTAAAAATCAGCAGAGGCTAGGCCAACAGAGGAGATACCCTGCGCACCGTCACATGCTTCAGCACCTCGACATCGTCGAGAACAGAAGAGTCAGACGACGGCACAGTAGCAGGAGGAGATGACGTGAAGATGCGGTCTCCACCAGGACTTGAGGAAGGTGATGAAGTGGAATCTTCGGACGAAGGCAAGTTCGTAGAAGAAAACACGATAGGGCTTGACGTCAGAGGTTGAATCTCATCGCATAGACCCTGGGGTGTGACACTGTCGTATTCAGCGGACAAGTCATTGACATTCGAGTCTGCGAAGCAAGTGATCCCATTTTCTTCGGCTGCAACTTCAAATGCGCAAGAGGCCGGCGACTCGTCAATGACAGAGCCAGGAATCGAGTCAGTATCATCAATCAGTTGAGGGATGAACATTAGTTCTTGGTGGAAAGTTGATGCCGCAGATTGAACAATTTCATCCGCAGACGTAACAAGCATTTCGTTCTGTGAAAGAACAGAGGACATTTCTGCATCGACGGCCATGGGACCCAAAGAAGCCTCTCTTACAGAGCAAACGCTTGGAAGGATCTTCGAGGCCTCATCCTCCAGGCTAGACAGAACCTCAGAAGCAGATGGGCTGTCGTCTAAAGCCAGAGACTGGGGAGGCTCGTTGCAAGTAGTGCCACATTCGACAGCAACGGGACGAGAGGGCACGGATTGCGATGCCAAGTTAATAACAGGTTGAGAATTCGAAATTACGAGCGCCGTTAGCTGGGGATCCGAAGCCAGTTGGGAATCCTGGGCGGGGGATTCAAGACTTGCAGCAGGGGATGAGACGATAGGCATTGCAGGTGAGTCCACGAGCATTGAAGTGGGCTGTTCTTGGGTTGGTGGTTGCGCAATGTCGCTTTGAGATAAGATCAGATCGTAGTGGTTCGTTTGGGGGTCGATCATCATCAAGGAGGACGTCGAAGCATTGGAATCGGGAATGGGTAGCTGGAAGTGGATCGGTCTGACGACGTCTTGTTGATCATGAGTTTCCGAGATGAGGGGAGGTGGTGTGGTGTCAGTGTAGAAGAGCTGATCTCCCAAAGAATCAGAACAAGTCGCAGAGGGAAGATTCTCGTCGAGACAAGCATCGGAAACCACCAGATCCTGGATATATGCGTGGGAATTTCTTAAGTCGAGTAATGTGGTGAACGCACCAAATTTCTCGCCACCAGGTCCTCGTCAGTGTGGTCGATCGAAGATGGGCTGAATGCGCAGGTGAGTACTTGGGGATGATGCAAAACAGAGTCAGTGGTGATTATGTTAGTCAAGGGCGCATCGAGCATGTCGCATTCTTTAGTGTCCTATTCCCGAGATCAGAGAGAGCGGCTCATTTCCATCTTACAGACCGCACGTTAAGGTCAGTGGGGTCACTCGAACCCTCAGAAAGTTCAGATAGCAGTACGGGGACCGGTGCAGAGATTGAAACAGAGACAGGGCTGGAATGGGGCGGAGTGGATTCACGAGGAGGAGGGCTGGATGACTGGGAATGATCGCATATGAGGAGGATATCAGGACGAGAGAATCGAAGGACGAACTTCAAAGGGACTGTTGTCGCCGCACAACTTCTCACAGGACCCGAACTCATACAACTCGGACGACATCTGGAAAGAGGATAAGAGGGATGGAAGATGGCCGCGACTAAGTTGTGTGTACTGTTTCCATGACCGGACTAAATGTCACGTCGGAGTTCAGGAATCAGGACGACTCGAGAATCGGAGTCGCGTTCATTATGTAATACCTATTGTGGAAGCATCAGTTCGATCCTTCTTGAGCCAGTACCAGTTTCATCTACTGGATACTCATGGCGAAATGAAAAAGGGACGTACATCGGCATTTACATACTTAGAGATGGACGCGATGTAATTACTGGCGCACGTTTGCGACTTGGACTGCACTGATAGATCGTAGCGATGCATTTCCAGTGCGATTGTCATCGGGATAAGATGTTGGTACTCCTGAATGCGGGTGCCACCTGCAGATCACTCACTGCTTGCGCCCAGAAATCGGTGAGTTCATCTGTGCGTTTAGCGATGTCCTGTTGGACTAACATCCGTTTGGGATGAAAGATCAACATCATCCTCAGACAATTCTAAGTTTCAGGAGGGCAAAGACAAGGCGAGTAATGGGGTAACGGCAATAGATTAAGCTCATGAAGTATAGGCTTTCGCAAACAGGGCCCGTGCTATGCAATACCACATCGAGGATCGTCATCGGACAGCTTCGAATGAGACATGGTGAACAGGGAAAGAAGCCACTGATGGGATAGCCAGTGCATAAAACCATCCATTCTTCGACCATCGTCCAGTGCGTGCATCACGCAACAACGGCACCGGAGATACAGAACAGGAAAGCAGACCCTGGAGTGTACGCACCTAATCCAGACAATCATAATCAACGGAGCCTTGAGGATGTCAAGAGATCATGTCGCAGGATTCAGGTCGATATCTTCAGCGTCAAGAAGATTCTTCACATATGCAAAAGGAATGCACGAAATCTGAAATAAGTGGAAGTTGAAGCCGGAGGAACGGAAAACACCTGGCTCGCCTCGCGATCACGTGAGTGTGATATAGCGACACTACTCAGCTTTCTCACTGGCATGACCTCTTTCGAAGCTGATGCAAGGTGGTGCCCGTCACTGCCAGTTTGACTGCCGTGTCCATATACATGCATCTCCAACTCAAGTCTCTAGGGCTGCATCGCCCCCTTGTCCCATGCATTCTCTTGATCTGTATCCGATCGAACGCTCAGACCTCTCATTCGTCTGACGTACGACGTGCCAAAAGTCTGTGTAACACGGACGCAGATTGCCACCCGATCTCTTCCCAGCCTTGCACAACGATTGGACCCATGTAAAGTCGTATGCAATCGGAATATATGCGGATGTCTCGCCCGCTCGTTATCTATTTTTACATCGACTGACAGCGCCGTGGAGCCGAATTCTCTTAGGCGACCCCCAGCCAACCGGAAGCCTCGCTGCACTTTTCCGAAGCCATTCGCCGACGTTCGGACGCGGCATCCATCCACCTTCTATTGGGCATCATCGATGGATGAAGCATCATCACCTTTGTGTCTGTGCGGAAGAACCTCGCACTTGTCTAGTGAATACCGGTTTACCAGATGACGATGTTCCAAACATAGACTGCGTCACCATCCTTCCATGTCGAGTCCCGAGTTCCGACCCAGTGAGCCCCTTCGGAATTTTTACTGGGCTGCTGCCGCTCTGCTGCGTCTCCCCAATCAGGATACCCGCGTGATGATGCAGAAGATATGACGCCGCAGGTAGCACCTGCTTGTATGACGATGACACAGATCTCTGTTTCACCAAGGTACTTTCCGCGGTCCGCTCTGGCTTTGCGATCCGCCACAAGACCTCGGTGGTGGTCATGGATACGGTCTGGTGGTGCTGCCCTGGGCATTATAAGACTGGACGATCTATGCGCGGTCACCCACTGTGATCCTGGTCACTCACAAAATGCTGCTGCAACTGGTCCTCTCTGCGGTCTCGCTCGCACTTCTTCCTGTCGCTCGTGCCGTCGTCGGCCCCGGAAAAGTGACGGGCGACACGGCGGTGCACGACCCGACGATGTGCAAGCGGTCGGATGGAACCTACTTCGTGTTCTGCAAGTGCTCTTTACGATGGCTGCGCTCTCCTTTGACGGAGAACTATCAGCTACAGGAACAGGAATCGAAATCCGGACCTCGCCCGATCGGACGGCCTGGACGCATGTGGGCTCGGTGTGGCCCAACGGCGCGAGCTGGACGGATGCGTATACTGGTACTAGTAACGGGTGCGTGTTGAGATTTACGCTCGGACAGCACATCTAATGTTTCGAGCAGAGCACTGTGGGCTCCGGACTGCACGGTCGTCGGAAACACATTCTATGCAAGTTTCCATATACTTTACGAGACAAACGACGCCTAATATCGGTAAATGACGCACAGCTCTATTACTCGGCATCTACTTTTGGCTCGCAAAAGGTCTGTATTTCTCTGCTGCCAAACAGATCCGGTACTGAACAGGGAATAAGTCGGCGATTTTCTTCGCCAAGTCGACGACTGGTATGCCGGGAAGTTTCACGAACGAGGGTCTCGTGACATCGACATCCTCGGGCGCCGCCTACAACGTACGCATCTTCTCACTTTCGCTCCACCTGTAACCGACACTTTGCCAGGCCATTGATCCGAAGTATGAGCCCCATGACTCAAACCAACCCTCGAGACTGATCAGCTCGAAGCTTGCTCATCGATGGAAGTAATTGGTACCTCTCCCTCGGCAGCTTTTGGTCGGGCATCAAACTACAGACGCTGAGCTCCAGCACTGGCAAACCGTCCTCGTCTGCGGTCTCCTCGATCTCCCAGCGCGCCAGCCCCGATGCGATAGAGGCCAGCGTGATCTACAAGTTTGGTTCGTTCTACTATCTGTTCACCTCGTGGGACAAATGCTGCCAAGTAAGATATGCTCTCCGAATTCGGAATCCGTGTCCCTCACATGTTCTTAGGGAACCTCGAGCACGTACAACATCCGTGTCGGTCGGTCTACGAGTGCTACTGGCGGCTTCGTCGACCAGGCCGGGATTGCTTTGACCAACGGTGGCGGGACCCTGGTGTTGGGCACTCATGATAGCGTGCGTCTAATCTTCCATCTACCCTCGTCTCTTCTCATGAAGAACTCCTCTAGATCGTTGGGCCCGGGGGTCAGGATCTCATGACTGACGGCGACGGGCCGATCATGGTTTACCGTGCGTCACTCTTGTCCTAATCAGCGTGTTCGAACACTCAGCCCTCTTATCTAGACTACTACACGTCGGCGGGAAGCTTCGTGAGTATCATCGGCATTTGAAAGCATGCATAGACTCACGTTTGTTGCAGCTGGGCATCAATCGCTTGGATTTCTCGAGTGGCTGGCCGGTGAGAAATCATTTCCTGTTCTGCAATCAAGATTGCTGAGCCTGTTGTCCTCAGGTCGTGGTGTAGCACGCATCATTATCTGGAACGTCTTTCGAGCCACTTGTAGATTGTATCCGAATCGCTTACATCGAACGAGACAAAGAACATGTCACAGATTGAGCACGGAGCACTGACACGTGATCGTTATGTGTTGGTCGATTTGTTTCTTGAATCTCTCGCTCCGCCGCGTTCCGTGTCTCACTGGAACCACTTGAACACGACTCGAATTCTGGTTCCCTATCTTGTGTGCGGGCGTCTCTTTGAATCTCTTTCTCCCGATCTCTTCCCATCGTTCAAATTCATACCGCGGCCAGTCGTTATCGAACATCTCTCGTGTATTGCTTTCGCTGTAGAGAGGGGATCGAGTGACTGACCTCCCGGTGGACTCCATCTCTTTTCGCGGTGTTGTGCCTCGAGATGTCAATTCCTCCTTCCACTTGCACCGCCGGCCGTGTGTGTCGTGATCGATTTGTCGATTCTTCTCACTATGTCTGGAACGCTCGTTCCTTCGTTTATGACCGAACCAAACCGAGTGCTCTTCATGCCTCCGAGCCGGCACACTCCCTCGTCATGGGCTCTAGACCTAGTGTGTTTGCTCCGGTAACTCCAACCGAATGTGTGCCGTCCATTGTGCCAGTCTCAATTGGAGTGTATGCGAGTATATTTTCCATAGATAATGAACCTATCGAGACACTCGGAGCAGAGAAATTTTCATGGTCCAGAATGTCTTCAACACCCAGCGCAACCAACGCATCTCGTGCCAGACGCACTGTTATGCACCGAACGCCCACACTCGCAAACACATAAATCCTCGTTATTCATAATATCGGTCCAGATACGCATACAGAAAGCTATGATACAAGTGCCCTCAAGGCCGCCAGACGGAATTTCTCACGGGTGTATTCGACATCGTCCGCGTCCTCATGCTCGCGTGGCTCATCGGCTTCGACGGAGTGCCGGGTCGGGCGGGGAACGCCAGCCCCGTGCTGCTCAGCGTCGGATCGGCCCGGCGGATGAACTGCAGCGGAGTCAGCGGCGAGCCGTTCTTGGAGCCGGGACTAGAGGTGATGGACTGCGGGTTTTTGCCCTCGGGTGTAACGAGCTGGAACTTGGGCACCCCGTGGCGTGGCTCGGGCGTGCGCGGTGGTGTGTAGGGGTTTGCGTGGTAAGTATTGGCCACGGCCGTGGGCGCGGAGAAGCTCTCCTCCTCGAGCAAGGTAGCAGAGCTGATCCACTTGGGCTCGGCCGAGCCTCGCGGAGGCGAGTCGTTTTCTGACATGAGCCTGAAAGAGTCTGCAAAGTGGTCCTTGATGAATCTGTCCTGGGTCAGTAACACGATTGATGGATGAGATTACGACGCCGACGTACTTGGACAACTCCTGCCACCCACCGCCAACCCGAACCATGACCGTCGACGACCGCAGAATGCGGCAAAAGCACAGCTTGGGATCCTGGTCCCCGATCCAGTATTTACCGCTCTGATCTCTCCAGCCCTCCGAGGCCAGACTCTCGATGCTGATACCGACAGGAAGTTTGTTGATGACATCCCCGACGGCGACGTCGAGCTTGCTCTTCGGATTGGCGATGTACTTTTTCCTCACGGGCGGTTTTGTTGCTCGTTGTGGGGTCGAAGGCGGTGTCACTTTGGGTAAGGAGTAGCGCGGAGCACGTGCCCACGTCGAGTTCGAGCTTGAGACAGATGCTCGAGACGGTGTACGTCCATATGAATGCGAGTGGGAGTGGGAGTGGGAGTGCATATGACCGAACTCAGACACACTCGGAGACTCGATTCGTTGCGGCGGGGGTCTCAGCAGCGATGACGACGACCTTCGGGGAGTTTCACTGGGCGTCAAACTCGCCGTTCGCTGTCTCGATGCAAACGTGGTCGCGACAGGGCCTGAGATAGATCGGTAGCTGGAACTGGACACCGAGATCGTCGACAGTTGGCTTGAAGGGCGTCGCACAGGTTGCTCGACGAAAGCCGGCCCCAAAATCGGCCGCTTTGGTGTTTGTGCCGGAGGACCCATGCGGGTTTTTAGGCTAGGGCTCTTGCCAGCGGACAGTCCGGCGTAGCTCGCGGTCTTGCTTTTTGAATTGCTCGCCACTGGCTTTGCTTTTGGTTTGACACGGATGGAGGCAGTGCTAGTGCTCGACAGTACGCTGGCCGCCCGCGAGCGCCTACCTCCTATGCGATCTCGGGCCATTTCTTCCAGCTCAGTCCAGGTCTGAAGCACCCTGTCCTTTTCTGTGGTCGCTCTCTCGTCTGATTTCACGTCGGCAAAGGCGGCGGAGAGCGCATCGATAGAGGCAGCAGTGAACGAGAGTCGTTCCGGAAGTGGGAGATCTGTTGAGGAAGAGGAGAGCACTGGCGCGTCCGGATACGAGTCAATGTGCTCAAGCAGATCGCTCAAGGCTGCATCACACCTGTGCAGTGCACCCAGGAAGCGCACCAACGATCTCAAGTGCGCGATGTGAATACCAGCTTCGGCAATTTCCGCGTGTAATTCGGAAAATTTGGACGCTTCAGGTTCCAGCGAGCGAAAGCCGCTTATGACTTGATTGAGTCTTGCTTCGTCAGGCAAGTACGAAGACGTTGCCAATGCCTCTATTCCCAAGGACCGCAGTCGGTCCCGAATGTCTTCACCAAAGTCGTCAGAAAAGTGGTAAACACCAACAAGTGACAATTACCATTGATCGCGCGCATCCTCTCCGCGTCCTTCTCCTGTTCAGCTCTAATTCTCGCTGCCTCAGCAGCAGCAGCAGCAGCAGCCTGTTCCTCAGCTAGCCGACGTTCCTGATCTAAACGCACCCGCACCCGCTCACGCTCTCTCTCCTCCTCTTCCAGCTTTGTTTTTTCCGCCTGCTGGATTCGGCTCCTCAGCTCACCAACCCACACACTTAGCTCTGTCTCTAGCTCTTCCAAGGCACGAGCCCGTGCCAGCAGCATATCGTCACGTGTGAGCATATCCCGCACACTTGACAAGGATGAAGATATCCGCCCGCTTTCTGCCATGATCTGCAGCAACTCGATTTCTGTCCCCGACCTGACCTCTTCAGCAAACTCGTCGACTTGAACCTTGAGCGGAGCGAGGTCTGAATCGATCCGTTTGGCAAGCTGTGCCATGGCAGTGCGTTTCTCGAGTGCCTGGATCTGGCCTGCGAGTGTGATAGCATAGGAGTTGGAGTCTGACCGCACTGCGGTGTCCAGCGAACGCGGATCAAAAGACAGTCCAGTTGGATTCGAGGGTGAAGCGATGAACAGCACTCGGCCGGTTAGGCCAACGGTAAACACCTCCACCTCTGTCTTCAACTCTTCACTGCTCAATGCCCCATCCTCCAGTTCCAGATCGACGCGATTCCGGAGTTCCTCTATTCGAGACTGCAGTTCAGCAAACTCGCTTCGCACGGCGGTCATTGCGCTGGTCTGCATCTTGATCTGCTCGAGCAGACTGGCTTGCGCTCGGATCTGTGACAGCTGGCTCTTGAGGTTCATGGCAGCTTGCTGCAACCGCGTCTGGAGAGCGACCTCGAGGGACTTGCTCAGTGTTGCCAGCGGCGCATCAAGAGTCTCTTCCAGCCTCGAATCCAGTGCATCCAAACGCGAGTCCATTTCCATTTCCGGTGCCGGCTCAGGTAGCGGAGATGAGAAACTCTCAGGGGTTGGCGGCGCCGTATCGATCATAGCCTGTTGCTGCCATCGGCAACGCTCCATGGTGTCTGCTATCTCCTTCTTAAGGTTACCCATCTCATCCATCTCAGCCTGCATCAGGCCCCAGATACGTCGCGCTTCTCGCAACCTGTCCACACGTCCGGTCACGTCGTCACGAGTCCACTGGCCCCGGCCGCGGAGACCGGAAAGCTGCTGGAAGACGCTGGCCGAGGCGCTCTTAAACGTGTCGTTGTCCACAGAGAGCGCAAGCAGGGCGCCACGAGAGTCGCGCATCACTTGGGCGGTGGACTCGCTTGCTGTGTCCAGGTCGCGGAGAATCGACGGCAGCAGCGCAAGGAACGCTGCATGCCGCGTCGGATCCAGGGAATCCTCGCGAGTGAGATCGGGAGGTGAGCCGTCTCCGTCGCCCGCTGACTTCGAAACGCCTTTTTCCAGCCGCTCGATGGCAGACTCGTACGCCGCGCAAAGCGTCTTTGCTTGCTCAACGAGCAGCTCGACGCGGTTCACCGCTTCGTAGTTGAGCCTGTACTCTCTCGCTGCTCCTTCAACCTTCTTCGTCAGATCTTGCGCAGCGCTAAGCTCGGCCGCCAGTGTTTCCGTGACAGATTCAGTCAAAGTCGTGTATTCGGGGAACAAGGCGTGCGTGGGCCGAGGAAACCCATTCGGATCGCCTCGCAGAACAAGCCGTTTCGAGACAGATTCAGCGCGGTGTACGAAAGTGGTGCTTTGCCGGATCGTGGGGTGTTGGAACTTGGCAGCTTCAATCTCGTCCCAGAGCGCCTGAGCGGCGGCTTGGTCTTTGAGAGAGTCTATGTAGAATTCGTCCGCTCTGATCAACGTCCATTAGGGCAAGAGCGCAACGAAGTCAAAGTTTACGCACTTGCGCCATTGCATCACAGCTGCCATCACGAACTTGCCCACTCCTTCCAACTCAGCGATGCCTTTCTCCTCCAGCCGATCTTGTTCGTCTAGCAGTTCCTCCGGCACGGGTTTTCGGCTTGTGTCGATCAGCCGATCGAGCATCTTGCCTGCTGCGCCAACTCGGGTGTGCCGCAGAGCCGTCATACGCGCAGAGAAGTGCGCTGCATCGCGAGCTAGCAGTTCCGCAAGCTTGTAACGAGCGGAGCGTGAGAATGATACAGAAGCGAGCGAGTAGGAAGTATCCGAGGAGGCGATGGAGGCCAAGGATGCCCGTCGGGTGAGCACTTGTGTGCTCCCTGCGGGCGCAGGCTCGGAGTCGTAGACGGCGGGCGACCATAGGGCTCGTGTCTGGAGGAAGGTCTTGATGTCACTCAGGATTTCGCGCCGGTCGGCCCATGCGGCGATGCGGTGCTCTTCCCAGGTGAGACGAATCCCGAGGAGCTCAAGGTTGTCGGAACGGTCCCGGAGAAGGTGCAGAAGTTTGTCGAGTGAGTAGATGGTCGTTAGCGTCAGTTCGATCAAGTCGGTGTCTTGAGGGGATAGGTTTCGTTGTGTGGCGGCTGGAGGTAACTCAGTACAAATGAGCGCAGCGAGTGTAATGAGGACACACGGACCTTTCGTAAACTTCTTAATTGTCCTCAACTCCCCACTGTCGAATATTTCCGTCTCCTTCTCAATCGTGTCGTGCTCCTTCAGCCAACGTTGCAACTCCTCGCGGGTGGGCAGCCCGGGGACTTGTTCGGCAGATTCACGTATAGCGGACATCCCCACAAACACTTCGATGGGAGGCAGCTGCTCTAAGAACTATCATGGAGTTGAGTGCACTGAGTTGCTCTGAAACGGCGCCCACGCACTTTGGTTTTGTCCTCGATCCATACTTTGCGTTCACTAAACGTCTTGAGTGAGATTACCTCATGCCATTCAAGAGATTGTTCTACGGTGGGGGAACCCAGGGCTTCAGTGGTGGGAGCGGATCCAGATTCGGTCGTTGCTGAGGGCCCTGACGCGGGGGCCGTACCAGACGACTCCGCGGGGTCAAGGGAGGTCATTAATATTTATTGTGTGCGGCGTGATCAAGAAAGGGGCATGTACGATAATGAGAAGCGAGGTGGGTCAGACAGGCATGCGCGCGCGTACACTGAGGAAGGAGGAAGCGGAGAGGGTGCAAGCAACGCGGCCTATGCGTGTGAAAATGTGGGCGTACAAAGTGACGACGGTTCCGCATCGGGAGTTGTGTCGCTCAGCTGTCATTTTAAGCCCGGGGTTTGCCTGGCGACCCACTACTTGGTGAGCAGGACAAGTGGAGGGACTCGCAAGTGCAGACGGACATGCTTTTTCGTATTTACATAGCTTTATTGCATCGCAAGACGGTATTACATTTGCTTACGAGCTCCCCTCAGAGTCGTCGTCTTTGATTGGCATCCAGTTACAGTTGGAGAGCACTGCGCTAGAACCCAGCCACACGCCAAAAAATGCTATTGCTGTCGTAACTCCGTCCTATCCAAAACGTGCGTGGGTCGGAAATTCGCGAGCTTGTGAGTCCATTTGGACCTACATAAAGTCCCTCGTAGAACGTTTGCGATTGTAGTATGCACGTGTCCGGCTCGATTATGATATCACTCCTTATCCTCTTCTGGCGCCTCTGAACGCGACCTACCTACCTCACTACACGGTCCGTATCATCCTCTTGCTTCTCGACACCCAACTTCCACTGCATTTTTGTCTTTTCCTCTTCCTGGGCACAAATCCCTTCGCTTGACCTGGTGGTTGTTCCCTTCCCGTCTCCATCGTCCATGGCGTCTCTGGTCGACAACCACCAACCCAAACCACATCTCCACCGATTCCCGCACTCGCCGCCTTCCACGGTTTCGTCATTTGTCCCACAACAAGATGACCATGACGTTCCTGTCGGTGACCTTGCCTTCTTCCATCGGTCAACATCCCCCAGAAAGCATCGAAAGGACACCCACCCGGACAAGGGGAGCGATTCCGACGGATACATCACAGAGCGATCAACAAACAGGGTCGTCCCGCGCACCTCCCAGGCGTCTCGACGAAATGCCGCCCGAGCGCGCACGTTGCCTTCCTCGGCTTCCTCTTCCGGCGCATTGGCCTTACTTTTGAACTCGGACCATCCAACCATCGCCCGGCCGCTCTCAGCACGCTCACATTCCGGGGCATCCAGTGTCTCCTCATCGTCTTCGTCGTTTTCCCCTGGGAGTCGGGACCAGCATTTGGGGGGCTCACAACCCGCCGCCGGCGGCATCGGGCGGAAAGTAGCCGAGACGTTGCAGTTGTTTAAGGAGACACAGGATCCAGAATCGTCTTCCTTTGCTGCCGGACCATCTTCTGCACGGCCCGCCTCGTCCAAGCGAGCAGATGATGTCGCTGAAGCCAAGTTTCAGTTCGTTAAACGTTCGGAATGGCCTGACCGAGGGACTGCTGCTATTCGACGAGAAAAGAGCTTTTCCACACTGGGTCGAGTGAAGACGGGTGAAAGCGATGCGGATGGGACACAGGAAACGGCGCGGTCTCCTGCGCGGGAGACATTCATCGAGGATCTGACACAATGGCGCGAAAGCGTTGTTACGATGGCAGAGAGCTCACGAGGGAGACGACGGGAGCGGCCCCCGGAGGAACCCATAGTTTTCGACGTCGATGTATGTTTTCATCCCTTTCCTGTGACAGTCGAGCCTGATTGCAAGCTTTCGACGCCCAATCAGTCTTCATCAAAATCTCGTTCGTCTCGTGTTCCTTCTCTTCGATTCCGCGAAAGAACCGCTTCGAGAGTGAACGATGTTGCCACTCTGACGCCCATCGCGACCCCGCGATTCAGCGCCAAAGTCCCTTCGACCCCGCCGACCCTGCTCCAACCGCCTTCTGCCGATAACTCGGAAGCGTTCTCACCTTGGTCTACTGATGACGAATCAGCGTGGGAGACAGCTTCAACTACCACCTCTACCTCAACCACATCCGCCGGTGTGCTCAACTCTCAAGAGGCCACCAGTGCGGACGGCTTGCATGCAATCTCTTCCCCGGCTGTGCACGACGCCGTCGGCTTGAATGACGACGACGACGAGGTGCTGGATTTCGACCTTGACGATTTACCGGATCAAGACTTGCCGCATATCCCCCTGCGTCCATTTCGTAATCAAGTCGGCGGCCACAGTGCCATCTATCGATTCACGAAGCAGGCCGTGTGCAAGGTACGTCTCTTAGTCACGTCTCTAATAACCTTGGCTTGACGCTCCTGGTTAGCCACTCGTTTCTCGAGAAAATCTCTTCTATGAGTCCGTGGAGAGAGATGCACCTCCATTGTTGGGATACATCCCCCGTTATCTAGGCGTCATGCTCGTGACGTACCGAAGGGTACCCAAGGCCCCGTCGCCTATATTCTCACATCCTCTATCCGATCACGCGCGAGACGGAGAGGTCACAGAGAACGCACCTGACGAGCTTGGAGAATCTGACACGGACTCGGCAGAAATGCCTGAAGTTGCGCTCGATCGGAATCGTCACATTATCCCCGAGTGGATGTTGCGCGGACGCTATCGTTCGCTATCTCAGTCCAACATGAGCGTCCCTCCACTCGTCGACCGCCGGCTGAATCGACCGCATCTGATCAATGGCGCCGTGTCGAGTCCTGATCTTGCAGTCGCCCCCTCCCGGACGAGGATGAGTCCGCTTGCACGGTACCCTCCGTTTGTCACCAGCGAGATGGAGGCTCCCACGCCTGTGAATTCGCCCAGCCAGTCCATCCGCGCCTTTCCCACACAACTTGTCCCGCAGCCCGTCAACCCGGACTTTCTCGCGGACGAAGCATCCACTCAGCCTCAGCTCAGCGCGTTCCCGTCAACTACGCAGTCGCCTTGGTTCGGTGGCACTGGGTCCACAATGGTCAACACCAAACTCAAGGATCATGTGTTCAGCACTGTCCTTCGACGGTTCCGGCGTCGGACGGGTGGCCGGTTGGCGACCGAAAATCGCACGGACGATGATGGGGATGTAGCTGATGCGGAGGAAGAGGAGCACAAGCACACCCCACGCAGAACACGCAGTGGGAAAATCCGACCTTTGATCAGCCAAGTAGGAGACCTGACGGGCCTGGAAAAATCGCCCCCCATCCGCCGAGTGCAGAGTGAATCAGTTATGGCCAGCCCCGCCAAACTAAAGTCTCTGGCGATCGAGGAGCGGCGGACCAAAGATATGATCAACGTCTTTGGTCTGGATTTCGACGAGAGCCGGGAGAACGACTGGCAGCTGCCTCCCTTGAGGAGGCGAAGTCGGTCTCGCTCACTCGATTTTGTACCGCCTGCGCCGCCTGCTGGGAATGCTGCTGCGACGCGCCAGAGCCATTTCATTCTCATGGAAGATCTGACTGGTCGTCTCAAGCGGCCGTGTGTGATGGACTTGAAGATGGGCACTCGTCAGTACGGCATTGACGCAACCCCGGCCAAAAAGAAGAGCCAGCGCAAAAAGTGTGATCGGACGACGAGTCGGCCACTGGGAGTCAGGGTATGTGGCATGCAGGTGCGTTTGCTACTTTTTCGTGTTGCGACGCATCTCATTACGTTCTAGGTTTGGAACCATGCCACCCAATCCTATATCTCTCAAGACAAATATATGGGCCGAGATGTCCGGCCCGAGGCATTTCACACCGTTCTAGCGTCGTTTCTACACGACGGAGAACGGTTACTGGCGTACCAGATCCCGATTCTTTTGCAGAAACTGTACGGCTTGGCTAGGATCGTAAACAGACTCAAGGGCTATCGGTTCTACGGCTGTAGCATCTTGTTGATTTACGACGGAGACCGCGACCTTCAAGAAACGCTTCGTTCGTCGTCCCTCGAGCAGCCATCCTCGCGGAGCAAACGGGGAGAATCTCTTGAGCGGCGCAACTCGCGTTCTGAGCATTCGCGACCACAAGCTCTGCGCCGGACCCACAGTGAAGATCTGCTCGTGGGTCCAGTGGCCAAGCGGAGACGAAAAAACCGTGGCGAGATCAATATCCGGATCGTTGATTTTGCACATACCACCACGGGCAAGGACTGGATTCCTTACACAGATATCAATGACAGGCCTCACGAGTCGAGCCAGACTTCGTCGGGATATGTCGCTGAGATCGATCCTTCCTCTGGGCTGCTTTATGCTCGCTTCCCTCCTCATTATCCCGAGGAGGCGGACCGGGGTTTCCTATTTGGTCTTCGCAGTCTGACTGATGCGCTGGAGCACATCTGGAACGAGGAGCGGATTCGGCGGATCAAGGCCAGCCGCGAGGACGATCCTGCCGCTGAGACTCGACTTCCCCCGCTTCCGACCGACGGCCAGGAAATCTTCGAGGAGATCTTTGGCAGAGCCGACGAGGATGATCCTGGTCTTATTTCGACGTAATACCGTGCTTATACTTACCATATTGTTTTCCTTGGGTTTTTGATTCGAGATCAGTCAGCTGCCCATCATAATACCATCCATCTCCTCAACGTGTATTTGCTCTAGAGACATGTAGCCAACCGACTATATAAGCGCTTGCGCTGTTTGCAGGAATTTGTGAGGCAGCAAGGTCGTCTGTTAGCCAACGTGCGTGTTTGGGAAAAAATTATTGGGTGTACACGTTCGGTTGGTGTTGCCGGAGCAAAATACATGTCTTAACTCCCAATCAAGTTTTTGCGTTAATTTTTATTCACATTTGTACCCACATCGTAGTACGATCAATTAATATGCATTTGTTCCCTGAATAGCGGCGGTGTAGCCTGAGGAGTAGAATCAAGGTTTGTGAAGCATGGATATGACTCGTACTTGCTCGCAAGTGGCACTCAGTATGCTCAAGAACATCAAGCTCGTTGAATGAGAGTATGCGTTTTATGTCTAATAACCACATCGAGTAGATAGAAGGTTCTCGAGGACGGCCAATGCTATAAGTACCCCTCAACACCTCTGAGCATTCCTAGTCTGTTCAAGGGCTCTAAGCTGTCAGGCTGGTTGGAGCGTCGTTCAAGAGCCCCTGGTATATATCTATCCCTCTTGGGAGGTGCTTGAGTACGCAGTGAGCACTTCCGGAAAACACTTCAGGTAGTGTTCAACACCTCGAGCGTACCACCTGGGAGCACAGGCCGCAGGCGCCATTTAGTGATGGCGGAGACTCAAGAAACAAATCGACCAATACATAACGATCACGTGTTAAATCACTCTCGTGTGCTCGCGCCCATTCGCCCTAGTTTCGACTCTCGATGGACACCGAGCTTAAGTGCAACAGGCTCACTTGCCGAAGTCCACTCAGTGACAAGGCTGTCGTGGTCAGTATCTCGTCTCGATCGATTACACGCGACGGCTAAGTGTAATTCCAATAACAGACCACTTGTACGTTCAGCTACCCATGTTTCGGCGGGGGCACTGACGCGCGGTTATCCATTGAAGGCTCACATATATTCTGCGGTATGTCTCTCGACAACTTTTTCCCCATTCACACTGACTAAATTGTCTTGTGATCCAAAAGTCGAGTGTGCCAATGAACTATTCAACGCATCGCGTCTTTGCCCCGGTGAGCTACTCCCCTTCGCCACATCCGCCTGCTCACCGCGCTCATTTTCCACGAAGCATGTGAAACCGTTCTCTCCGAACCGTGATTGGCCACTGCTCTACTCCTCCCGTCTGATCCCCTGACAAAATGCCTTGGGCTGCAGAGATGATGTCGTGGTGCGTGCTTCTCTTGAGGATAGATTGGCAGCGAAGATTGTACTTGTGTCGCACAGGTTTGCTCGCTCCATCCGTCGAATGACTACAAAACTGTTTGTTGGAAAGGCATATATCCAGCGCTCGCCACTGACGCCATCAGTCTGTTCTTTCCGGTCTGGGTCCGCCTGTCGTTCTGGAGATCTGCAGTCGGTGCGTGAGTCCTTACCTTGCACGAGTCCCTCATGAGACCCCTCTAGCGCGATATCGTTCTGGCAGTACCAAATTCATCAAGAGATGTATTTCCCTCTTTGCCTACTATGCAAACTTTGACCTCGTTGAACGCCACGGACAGATCATTCCAGCAAGCAGTAGTCCGGAGCGTCAACGACAAGAACGCCCAATTGCAGAAACAGCTCGAGAACGTCGTGAGAGAAGGTTCAACTTCGCAATTAGATAAAGTGCTGTCTAAATTCGATCAATAGCGAACGGAGAAATCAGTCTGTTGAGCAACAAGAACGCAGGTTTGCCACAAGCTGAAAGGTTATTGAATCACCGGGAGATAACACAGTCCCAGAGCTCCAACGCGACCTTGAGCTCGAGAGACGCAAAGTGCGAGACCTACAAGAAGCAGCGCGGGAGCGTGATAAAGAGTACCAGAAGCTCAAGGTTCTCGTCGCTGTCGAAAGCAAGAGCAACAGTGCTAACACAGGGATGCAGGCTCAACACGATAAGATCAAACGCAAGGCCCTACTGGCTCCAGGGGCTGGCCCTCAGATGTCTCCAAACGAGGAACAGCTGAAGTTGAAGGCATTTGGAGATGGGGGAATGGTTTCTGTACGTGATCCAGTACAGCGACCTTGACTTGCTTCAGACTTGACACCCGGCTCGATACAGCAGCGAACGCCTCTCGTAACTCGGAGCGGCGCGAGCTGGGGGCAGGGTCATCAACAGCAGCAAGGACTCCAAGTTCCCCGATCGGCACGACGTGTGCAAACGCATCGTCAGCCATTCGCAGCAGGAGATCGCGTGCACGCATCGAATCAGTCATACTCAAACGCATCCGACCGGTCGACGAGTAGCAACGAGGTGGAGAATATGCTGTTGACGAGCAACGCGGCCCGGGCTAGTGCGAATCATGGATGGCAGACTGCGCCGAGTGTGTCGCGGATGAAGACTGTGCCAAGAGGTGTGTTGGACAGATGTTCATGACGTTGGATTGATGATCTTTGCAGCTGTTTTCGCGCCGCCAGGCGCACCCGTCCAACAAAGGATGTCTGGCAACTTCAGAGCGGCCGGAATGCAGCGTAGCGGTTAGTTCATGTGACATACAAAGAGCATAGCATGTAGACTGGACTGCAGTAATATGATATGAGTACAATATGAGTGAAATTAGTCGCGCCTCAGAACACCGTTCTTTTCGTCTTCAAGATACTGCCCAATCGCCATCATATCCTGACCTGTCCGTCTCAGGTAACCAGAAAGCACAGCACGCTCAGCATGCGGAAGCAGGTGCGACAGCTTGTCGATCTGTCTCTCAAATTCTGCAGAACCCGGCGGTACCGCCAGTGGCGGGGTCATCATGGACGGTCGCCTCAACATCGCTTGGGAGAGCGGCGAGATCGGCGCCATGGACAGCCCCATCGTGCTCTGAGCTCTAATCGCTCGATTTGGGACAGCGCGTGGCCCACCCGGCATGGACGGATTCTGCGGCGTGTGCGTCGGTCGTGGGGGAGCCTTGATCAGCCTCGCCGTCGCTGGCTGCCCAAGTGTAAAGTTCCCCCTGCTCTTGCTCAAACTGTTGTTGTGCCCGTGGCTGCTGGCACTGCTGATACTGGTCTTGCGTCCCAATGAGGAGAAGAATCCGAGATTGCTCGACCGCCCGGAAGAACTCGCAGCACTCAGCATTCTCGCCGACAGCGACGCTGGCAGTGTGCTCGTGACAGACCGCGGCGACAGAGACAAGGCGGGGTATGGTAGAGCCGTCACTAACGGTGCGACATCGCTTGGCTTCGTCGAGAGATCCGTCGCCAACGTCGCATCTCCACGCCGAGGAAACGTTGCCTGGGTCCGGACGGAAGATGTATTCGAGACCTGCCTTGGAGTTTCTCCGAATTCACCCTCGGTAACAGAGGATAATCCGCCATACGCGCGCTTCTTTTTGCCCTCCTGCGCAAAAGATATCCACACCGAAAGGCCGCAGTCATGCAGATACAGCTCGTTGATCTTCTGGGCGTACAACGCACATCGCTCGGAGCTGGTCTTCTTTGTCGCGATCTCTAGGCTCATCAACGCAGCGGGATATTGGGACACAGTTTTTCGCACTGCTCGTCTCCTGGGCAATGCCGGCAGCGGCGGCGAAGAGACCAAGCTTGCGTGTGACGGAGACGGTGTCCTCGGCAGAGAAGAAAACCGTTTCTGATCAACGGAAGGTTCTTCCTCTTCCTCTTCTTCCGATGACGAAGTCATATCACGGCTGATATGCGTCCATTCATCAGGCAAATTCTCTTCCTTCTCGGGTGGTTTTGCGACAGCTGCGATGCTCGGCACCTGGGGGACCTGTGCTGGGCTATAATCCGATGGACTAGAGCAGATGGGCGATGTCACAGGCGAGATGAACGACGGCGAGAAAGCTCCTTCACGGAGATGGAGCGGCCTGCAAATCATTCAATCGGAAACATCAGACAGTAGAGAAACGTACTCGTCCTCGGACGGGGTTATCCGAGCAGGAGAGACCGATCTCGAAGTCGAACTCGAACCACTCGATGAGAAAGAAGAAAACATTAGCGAAGGCGACGCTCCGTCTAGTCTCCTTGGCGGGGGAGAGTGTAACCGGGGCGGTCTAGGGGGTGGCGGTGTCGCCGGATCGATGGTGAACAACGCTCGTGGCGGTGGTGGAAGCGGTCCTGCGGTGGAATGGACACCTGCCAGCAGGTCAATAACCAGATTTTATCGAGTGATGTTACACACACCTGGCTGATAATGGAGATAAGCCGACAAAGGCAACGATCCCGTCGGCGATCCTGGCACGCGAGTCTCAACGACTTCAGAGACAGCAGGACTCCGCCCAGGCGCATCGAAGACAGCATGCAACGACGAGTCTAGACCAAGGTCGACCACGACAGGTGATGCAACGGGGACATGAATATCCTTCGACTGTCCGATCTCCGGTGTGTGAACAGAAAGGTCTGTCGATCGTCGCTTCAGAATGTTCAACCGCAGCTCAGGGGTGCTCGAATTCGGGGTGACAATAGCGTGGGGCGAGGGCCCTCGGGAGGGGTGCGGTTCCTGGAACACCGGGCCCGCGGTCGCGGGAAGAAGCGATAAGGATGAACCAGATCTCGAAGGCGTCACCGCCAACCGTAACTTTTGTGGAGGCTCATTCACAACAACACCCGGGTCAGCTTCCGTGCCGACGATCCCCACATCCCGTAACTTGGCCGACGTATTTGTGACTTCTGATGTTGAGCGCGCGTGAGATTTCGTCGGGGATGCCAGCGACGAGGACATGTGGTCTGCGGCTGCATGGGGTGGCGCGGAATAGGGTGGAGATGAGAGATTCGAGTACGATCCTGGGGCGGCGTCCGGCGGAGCGACTAGCGCTAGCCCCTCGAGGCGTCCGCGGCTGCGGGATTTGGAGGAGCTTGTACTGGGGCTCGCACCTGCACCACGCTCCCGGACCGTGTCCATGGGCACGATGGCAAGCCGCCGTCGGTCCGAACCGCCTTCAGACGGCACACCCGAGCGTCGAGGCGGAGGCGACGCAGGCTCCTCTTCCCTTTCTCCATCAGACGACGTCGCAGCGGAGGAGTACTCGGAGGAGGACGTCGACGCATCTGAACTACTCCTGCTATGTCGCTTGTTACGAGCTTTCGAAGGTGGACTGTACTTGAGGCCCTGATCGGCGAGGTCAGACTGATAGTAGCTGGCCAAAAGTTCGGTTTCCTGGCGAGCGAGTCTCGGCCGCGCAGCGTTCGCGGTCGTCAACGACTTTGATGAAGGAGACAGTGCTGCATCTGCACGCTAACGGTGAGTACCCTATTCTGGCACGAAAAAACAGGGCACGGACTAGATGAGAGAGAGTCGGTCGTCGATGTCGTGGGTGTGTTGTATGAACCAGGCATGGCAAGCCAGTACCATCCCCTCAGTGGTCACAAATGGCTCTGGCAGAAGGGCAGTATGCGGTCACGTGGATGTCAAGCAACGGTGAATGTTTGCCAGACTAAGAAATTACGTCGACTTGTTACGGGGCTGAACCCAGCGATCCTCATCGGTATTTCGAGCAACCAGTGCTCCGCATTGACTGCCGGTGCGCGGCAGCCACTCCAAATCACGTTGAGCGCGGGACCAAAGCGGCGCCGCGGTATTGAATGAAGGGAAATTTGGCACGTATCTGGGCCGCGCCGTGTGAGGCTGTTCGCAAGGAGCCAAATCTTTCCATTCTCAAAGGAGCAATTCAGTCCGCCGGAGATGAAGAAGATGTCGTATGCAAAGTGTACGTGCGCTGTGCCAGTGAAACGTTGCACATCAGAAACATTGACTGTGACTGGCAATGGTGACATCAAAGGCTACATGTCAGCAGTCCCGCGAGGTGATGAATGGAGTAGCAATGCTTGGAATAGGTACTTGAATGACAGTCGATACCGTCGATACACAGATTCAGTTGACTAATTTCACTCCAGGAAGATCGCTGATTAGATGAGATTGGTGTTCGGCATTTGCCGGTTTCTTTCTCGTTCGCGCGCTCATGTCCTCACCATTCTACGAGGTCGCACTGTTCGGAGAATTCTTCTCTAAAGACCTCAAGGCAATACTGAATCGAATAACTCTACACTCGGAACACGCTACGCCCCTCCACCTCCGAGAGGTCGTCTTCGAGCCATTCGACGCAAGCCATCTTGCGGGTGCCGACCCCGTACTTCTTCGTGCGCGACGCGATCTAACGGATCCTGACCTTTCAGCTGGATGGGTGCTATACTCCTACTTGAAGCCAGAGAGCGTACGTGCCCACCCAGAGGCAACGGTGCGCCCTTGGGCTACATGTGAAGTGGTAGGCGACGCATTAAGCTTCGCGGCGACATTGGGATACGTGCGACGGTCGCAGATCTACAAGCGAGGCTATTCATTCCGCAGGGGGCCTCTGGTCATTCAGGTGCGTATTCGTCATCGACTGTCGGGCGTCTTCGCGCTGAAGCGACTGCACACAGATGTTCCAGCAGGAACAAGTGGATCCAAAAACTGAGAAACCCATCCCGGCACATGCTGATACCCTCTGGGAGGTGGAAGTCAAATCCGCATCTCCAACACGCAACACGCAGGAAACGCCGATCCGTCTCGTGGTGAACGCGGTCGTGGAGGTTCAGATCTTGATGAAAGGTCTACTCGATCTACGCAGGCAGGACATCTAAGGATTGTCGGAATCCAACTCTCCCCAATCTATGTCTTCCTCGTGACCCTCTTCCCCCTCTGGCATCCAATTTGCATCTCCTCGTACTGAACGCATGAGTTCCAAGAGCGCGGCGGGACTGATTTCCTGCTCGTCGCCGTCGGAATCCAGTAATTCCGTTGCGTCTAGGTCTTCGTCGCCGTCTTCGCTCCCAGAATATTTTCCCAACATGTCGAGTGCATTGCGTTTGCTTTCCGGCTTTGGTACCAGGATCTCTTCCTCATCACTGCTGCTACCATATCCGTCCAGCAAACCGGCGATGGCTTCCCCATCCACCTTCCTCCGTTTTCTTCTCTTTGCATCGCCATCGTCTTCCTCTTCCCAAACGCCGGCCTCGGTAATGTTGCCCACTTTGTCCACCACTAGGCCGGTGAACTCCTCCCACACTTCGATCGTCGGATATTCAACGAAATGTGTTCCCTTCAGGACTTCACCCAGCGTCTGACTTGTGTCTAGGCGAAGATAGGTTCGGTGTCTTGTGCGTCTCAGTGGGTTTCGGGGCGCACGTAACAGGCATTGGGGTTGAGCATCCTCATCGATCATCGCATGCACCCATGAGGGAGCTGCGCTGTCCTTGCTCTTTTTCGGCGCGGCGAGCAAGCTGAGAAGTGTGGATAGAGGGGACTCGAGGCGATTCCGATGGGTAAGCAGCGAATATGGTGGGTCTGACTTCTCGGATGGCGGAAGCAATGGATCAGGTGGTCGGTGAAATCGGAATTCGATTGTCAGTAGTGCAGACTGAGATCTATGTTATTGGAGTCAAAATTCAGTGTCCATGATAACAACGTCGCATACCTGAAGTTCCAAGACGACTGGTTTATTCTATGCTTGTCCATCCCGGCTGGCAAGACCTCCATGTTGATATCTTGTGTTTCCAACTGCATGCATAGAACATCGCGTTTTGATCTCCCATGTGCGGTATGCTTCCCACCACGTCCTCTACCTCTCCCTCGGCCCCTCCCTCGGCCCATCCCGACTGCATCAGCAGACCGATCCTGGAAACCGCCTCTCGCGATTTCAACCCCGACTTCGCTGATTTTCCTTCCCACGTCCTCCAAGAACGTGTAGTCATCCATCATGGCGCCCCAGCCATACCGATTCATCGGGACATACGCTGCCCGATTGCGCATTCCAGAGCAGCCTGTGGCAGTCTTGTGCGCGGAGGAGCATGGGAGAGAGCAGGTGCGGACGGAGCAGCCAGGACAGGTGTAGATTGCGCAACTGCGCGAGCACTGTGAGCAAAGAGGCTGGGACGAGGAGGAGGGGGACGCCTCTGGCAGACGCGATGTTTTGACGGTCGAAGTAGACATGCTCGACAAATTTGCAGCTGTCGGCAAAAGCCGATATAGCTTCACGTGCATTTTTCGCGCGTGTGCGTCACGCGTTAGTTGGGGAGTCGGTTCTCATCCCGCGGGTTTTCAGCTTATTTGCGCGTTTTAGGTATTCATGAAGAGCACATGAAGAGCCATTCCATATAGTGATCGGTCTCCACCTGAAATCCACCAAATCTATTGAAGTCGGAGAACCGAGTGGTGCTGCCAGTGTTGATGGGGTTAGGATCGGGTACTGTCGCTTTCCTCACTTACTCATCTCGGTCAGTTGTTCTGCTGGAATACGAAACAGGATTGATTGAGTCTTCCAACGGCGCCGAGGTAACCATACATAATCTGGCTGCGTTCTCTTCGCCTGCACGGTGTCTAACTGCTGGCACTGACTCGCAAGATGATCTCGAGGATTCGAACAAAGCCTGGCGCGTCCAGGCGCGTCATGATTGAACTAGTCCGACCTAAGCTCTATTCAGCGGTCATGGAATCTGGATTCGGGTCCCAATCTATCCTAATTGTATATTTGTCCTGGCATCATTACAGTAATTACACGTGACTGATGTCATAACAAGTGGCCAAGGCTTGCACCGCACTCTGATCGCGTATTTTACTGCCCTTCCGTCCCGGAGTACACTTTCGACATTCACGGGATGAAACATCATGCCTTCGAAGGAGCGAAGACTGTTCAAAAGAGTGGTCTTCGCGCGTTGGCCGGTGGACAGTGTTGCAAGGATGCGTTCGTGATAGTTTGGGCCGCAAATCGCAATCGCGGCTTGTCTTTGTCGGAATCAACGGGAACTAAATTATCCAAAGACCAGTTGAAGAAAGGGAAGTGCACGACACCCAATCATGCGGTCTTACGCGTCGTTCGTCGCTTTTCAGTCCATCGCATCTACTAAATCTCTCTCGAACACTCTTATCATGCTCGAGAGGATATATGCTGCGCAACGTAGATCTGTTTCCACCGGTGCCGCTCTTGCTGAGGACAATCGACTCTAGGCTGCACTCGGTTCAAGATGATATGGCTGGGCTGGAGTTCCGCTTGCTTGTTGTCGATACAGCGAGGAATTGATCTGACGCACAGCGGCTCTCCGAGGAAGAGGTGAATGATACGATGTCTCATCTCTAGGGACAGTCGTGGCTTTCGTCGCACGGAACTGCTTTCACCCTTGTGTCAACCCCCGTTGGCTGGATCTCCGTCAACATCCCATTCGCGAAAGCTGACGCGGGTTGACTGCCAGTTCCCCAGCCACAATGCTCCGGACCGAGAGACTATCCGCACGCTGTCATATGCGAGCCCTGTTTCGCTCAACCCTACTACGAGGGCGTAACTGCAGCCCGTCATAATCGTTCCAAAGGTTGAGTCCTCGGATGCGACCCAGTCTTGGGAATCGGGGGCAGCCGTGCCTACTGGTGGTGTATCAGACTCCTCGGACTCCGGCGAAAACTAGGGTGCCAGTCGGATGGGCTTCGCTGGATTGGGGCATCAGTCGGTGAAAAATGTGGACTTGAAGCAGTTGGTTAAAAAAACGAGTGAGCTCTGAATTCGCTCGTTCATTGGGTAACTGAGCGACGGCCGCAGACTTGAAGATGATCAGAGGATCCATACGTTTTGGGAATCGCAACCTAGCTTTCCATGGCCTACGTTTCTCTCAGTGTGATGAACTTGGATGCGTACGCTTCCCCGACATCATCGCGGTTATTCTCGCGGAGAAACGGCGACCGCAGTTGCCGACCACCAGCCACGGATTTTCCACCCAAGCCGACTTGTCACGATCCCTTATATAGTGAGATTTCTGTGATATCTCATGTTTACCTTCACGGGCAGCCAATTCCGGTTAGCCTGGTTGCCCGTGAAGTCTCTAATCCGTTGATGAGAAAACCGGTGGACTCGCTGCCAGTTCTAGCGATTCATGTGCTAGAAAACCTTCGCTTTCAACTTGAACTTGCCCTGCCTGCCCATAGTACGCGACTGATTCCCTCTTGCGCTATAAAAACAACTAATCAGTAACCAGTGTCACTGTTGTCGGAGACACAGCCGGTTTGCCCGGGACCGCTGCACGCATCTCTGCCGGTTGCTCTCCAATCGCTTTCCCGTTCAACCGTGGCCTGCATTCCCGGACACGACCCGCGGCTGACTTGACCCTGATGAGCCGATCACAGAAAGTCTGCTGTTCACTCTCACATCAACATGCGGGGCTCGGCGACTTCTCCGGGAACGAATGTCCCGATGTGTCTGCAATCGCATGTCGAGATACTCTGGAACGGCTCGCACATTTCGGCCGATGCTACATCGGCCTAATCAACTGTGAAGGGTGGGCGGTCCTCCGAGGCTCAATCCTTGGCCACATGTTATCCCCCAACTGCTCAACGACATCACCTCGAGAACGAACCCCGGATGAGCAACGATGGGAATCGCTGTGAAACAGGGTGGGATCCTGTCGCTGTCATGGGCACTGCCAACGTCTGAGCTATATTGGTCGATTTTTTATTTGTGCGCAAGATAATACAGCTCGAATTATTGATATACATGCTACTCTATGATACTACTCAGATATCGTCCATACCAAAGTCAATCTCGACCTTTTGGCCGGGCTTGAAAGCCGGAAGCCCTAAGTGAATATAAGCGATGGGTTCACAAAAGAGAAATTGAAACCACTCACCAAGGTAAGGGCAGCTCGCGCACCTGAAAGCGTCGCCGAGGAAGCAGTTCCCGCAACTGCTAGTAGCCTTCGGCGCCGCTTTCGCAGCACTAATCAGCCGCTCCCGCTCCTCCTGCGAAACGGCCGAGGCCTCTCCATCGATCGTCCCGTCGATCATCACCACCTTGCCCGTCCTCGCCTCCTCCTCCTCCAGCTCCCGCAGCCCGCAGGAGCAGTTCTTGCACGCGCGCTTCCGCCGCGGTGCACCCGCGACGGCGGGGTCGCACGTCGGCACGGGACGGGCCCGGTCTGCATCAGTCAGCAGCGCCTCGGCGTCAATAGGCGGCGTCGCCGGGGCGTTCAGCGTCCACAGCGCCTTCTTCGTCGCGGGGTCCGTCTTCCTCTTCCGCAGGAGCGGCACAGCAGCGGTGGCGGCCGCCGCGGGCTTCTGCGCAATGAATGCCGTGGTATCGGCTGCGTCCGAAAGCGACGTAAAACCCGCCTTTTCGATCTCGGCCCTCAGCCCAGAGCTCTGTGACAGGCCGTAGACATGGAGGGTTGCCGACGGCTGCATCGACTCCTGCAGTTGCTTCAAAAGCTTTTGGGTTTGCGCGGGAACCGAGCTCAGGTCCTCGTATTCGCGCGCTGTGAGTGTAATGTGCACGCCTGCGTAGGAGGAAGCGTCCAGGAATGTAGCTGGTTTGTGTATTCATTTCAGCACGTCTGAACCTATATGAAAGCGGAGCACCTTGATCGACTAGTCTGTCCAGCATCTGCTTGTCCACCTTTCGCGAACTCTCCAGGTCAGCAATGAGAGTTTGATATTGCCCATCCTGGGCAGTAGATGGAGAGCCAATTGCGAGGGCCATTCCTTTGACGAGGGGAGTCGACGACGAAGTGAAAAGACTGGGCGAAGTAAGATCCAGAGCGGGGGACATGCTGACTCGTGAGAAGCAAGAATTTCAAGTGGAGTCAGCATTGATTTGTAATCTCTGTCATCGACTTCGGTAGCCTTGGCATGGTTACTCTTGCTAAACAGGAGGGTCCGCATTAGTAACAAGTAGTAGCGCGGACAATTGACCGTGCAACTTTTCAGACGGTATTCGATGATACAAATAAGACACTCGGTATATTAAAGTTCTGTCCATCAAGCCTGCGGAGGAGGCTGCTGCTCTGCAACAACCGCAGGCGGAGCAGAAATAGGAACCCCAATAATAGTTTCCGGGAGCGGCGCGAGGAACGCAGACCGGACTCGGTACAGCATCAGTCGATACCACTCCGGATCCACATTAGCTTTCTCGTGCTCAGCGGTAAGCGACTGCAGATGTCCTATCTCCTTCAACCAGGCAAGCCGCCAGTTGACTTGTCCGGTCTCATCCAGTTCAAAGGTATCGTCGATTGGCATCGGCATCGGGAAACGCATGTCCATCATGGGAAAGTTGGGGTTGAAGCTGAAGCTGATGCTTAGCACGGCCTAGGCGTGCGAGCTCGGAAAACTTACTGGGGAGGGAAGGGAGGATAAGGTGCTGGGCGAGGGTTGCCATTCTCGTCGACTTGTGGCTCGGCAAACTGAGCCTCATCAAAAGAGCCCTCGGCTGGTCTAAACTCCCCATCCTCATCCTCGCCAACGCCTCGCTTCGAACCCTTCGTCTTCTTCTTGCGTACACGATGAACACCAGTCCGCGGATCCACATTGTCGTTCACGGTCCAATAGGAGCCTTTGCCGCGGTCAGTCAACGGACGAGGGACTTTCTCAAAGCAGGGGTTCAGTGAAAGATTGTGCCGGACGGAATTCTGATAAGATGTTACAGGGGGTTTAAGACTGAGGTGCTGGTGGCGTACCTTCCATCCGTTGGGAGCAGTGCGGAAATAGGGGAACTAGGAGATGTGCCCATGGGTATTGGTATCCCAAAAGAGAATGAAAAAACGTACACGAGACTCGATGGCATAGTAAATATCCTCGAGAAGGAGTTTCTGGTTCGGAGAACCTTTGATGGCATAGCTAGACAATGGCGAGTCAGCAAACCATGCGAGACATTGGGCAGATGGTGCGATCCACGGGACAGATTCCAGCTCGCCGCAGGGGAAAAAGACCCACCGAATAAGAGTAGAGTACGGATAGAAAGGTTTGCTTCCTGGTGGGCCATCGCGCAGCGAGTCGAGGTTGATGGGGAGGCCACCCGTGAGATCATTATCCGGGTAGTAATTCGCCATTTCCTGGCCCTCGGCGAGCATAGGTGCCATTCCTTGCGGTGGTTGAGACATTGGGGAGATGATTTGGGCGAACTCGATACGAAGGTGGTGAAGGGGCAGAAGGAAGGTGGTCAACCGGGCTTCGTGTCACCTGACAGCTGATCTCGCACGGACCCGCCCCAACCGGCCGCCCATCGTCCTCGTCGATATAGTCGTTCACGAAACATGCTAGAGGGCGCGCGATGAATGCGAATGCTTTGCTTTGCTTGTGTTGGATGTCGCAGGCCATCAGGTCAACTCCCCCCAACACCAAGCCAAATCGCTGAAGACACTCAAAAACAACAACTCATCCCAACAAACCCGCAAACAAAACACTGCTGGAGCTCGCTCAATGAGTCTCTATTCCTTCGTTTGCTTTCGTTATCTCGCCGCCGAGAATGATCGTTTTCGCCGTCCTTGACTGTCTTTGTCATTCTTGCCAATCACAATATCTAGACCGGCTTTCGTCGGGCGGTGCAGCCCACGATTTCTCATTTTGGATGTTCACTCCGGCTTTGTGAGGCAATACATTGAACTAAATAACCGCGTCAACGACGATGCTCTCGTAGTCTATCTAAGTACAGCAGGCGAACTCAAACACTGCGGGATTGTCAGGGAGTTGGCTGGACAGGACACGGGAATCACGTACCCGTACGCATACTCTACTTCATCCACACCAGCTCCGTTCGAGAAACTTGTTTGTTCCCTGGGGCTGGGGCCAAGTTCGTCGACATCAATGTCAATGTCGTCATCTTCGGAATCATTTTCGTCGCCATGAGTAATTCCATCATCCAATCCGAATGGCAGAACAGGTCGCAGCCCGGTGCCTTGACTCGACCGTCGCCTGCCGGCAGGAGACTTGGGGAGAGCGGCCATAGTTTTTGGACTCATGTGCTACTACTCGTCAGTGCATGCATGCAGTTATTCGTCTATACACACCTCCCAGTTGTTCAGATTCTCGTCGACGACTTCGGGATCATCACGACTTGGATCCAGTCGCGCATCGTCGCCGAGCTCCCCAATGGACACAATGCTCTCGCTGTCGCTGATGCCATCGGCCATTTCCTGCGCATACGACGGAAGTCTGTGCCATGCCGATGTTCCACCAAACAACTGCTGGCCCTCATGGTCGGAATCCGACCAGCCAAGATCGGACAAGTAGTCTTCGTACTCCTCTTCAAATGCGATATCTTCTGTAATATACGGAAGGAAATTGCGTGGGTCCGCGGCCTGGGATCGAACCGGAGGGAAAACATCAGGATTGATGATGTTGTTGGTTCCATCTTGTCGTTCGAGCCCTAGTTCCGGCCCCGGGTGCAGTCCCTCGAGATGGTGCGACATGCTACCCGATCTTCGGTGCTGCGGGCCGTGTTGGGTGGCCACCGGACCGTATCGTTTATTATTGTCTGTTCGAGGATTGAGTCATGTTAGGCACAAAGTATGATAGAACTGTACAAACAGAACTTGACCAGATGCCTGAGAGCATGCTCTTGCGCTTGCGCGTCAGTTGCATCTTCAACTTCAGTGCCTGAGAGCCATTCGTCGCGTAGATCTGGCCGGCAATTCAGATATATGGATGTGATGATCTTCATGTTGGCTGCGGAAAGTTAAAATCACGGTACGATGACAGCGGGAAACACTTGCTTTGCCGCCACTTTCGACCACAAAAGGGGACCTGACTCTTGATGATCTTCAAGATATGCAGCTGTAGCATGGGATGCTGGATCTTGAGTGCGCGCTTAAGCACTGGCTAAAATGTTGTCATTCTCTGAGCTGCCCTGGTGCATTCACCACTCACAGAGCTCTTGTATTGGATCAACAGCCAGATACGATGTCCGCGACTCTTAGACAACTTTTGAACGATTTTCGCAAAGTTGATCAAAGAGAAGAAGTTGCGCCATGAGAAGTCGGTGACCATGTCGATATCCTCTTCGTGCTTTTCGCCGTTGGGCAGCATGCGACTCTTCTTCGTAGTGTACCTTGTTGGTCGTTGTTGGCTATCTGCGGGCTGAGGATTCTTCGAGAAATTGAGCATGCAGTATCGAAAGAAACTGGCTCAGGACGTCAGTTCAATCCCACGGGTCGCACGGACACTCACTTGTTGTCTGGACAATCTGCTCTGGATATCACGGTTTGAGAAACGTCTTGCACGGAGAACAACTTCAGAATGAGCAGCAGACAGTTCGAATCCAACAAAAGCTGGCCCAAATAATGGAACTTCATGATATCTGTCAATAAGATTAGGTGCTGGTGCCAGGCTACAGTCACGGGTACTAACGTGAGACCTTGAACCACTTGAGAAGCAGCAAGAGAATGGCAGAAATTGCTTTGGAAGTGACCTCGCGATGGCGCATGACGTCAATATCATCGGAGGATAGCGAGGGCGGTAATGGCTGGTCAGCTAATCATGACATGAGCAAACAAATCAAGGGAAGCCGAGAAACAGCCTACGTGACATTCCGAACCCGGGGCCAGGCGGGAAGACGCTGGAGGCAGAGGGCGGTCCCTGGGCTGGCGGCGGTTGCATGTTTGACGTTGCAGTCACTGTAGCCAACAAAAACTTGAGGAGAACCAGCACCATATTAGGAATGATGGGCAAGCCCGTGTTCTAAAGCGGATGAGCGACGGAAATGCACTCAGGCGAACTGCAACTTGCATATATTTGTTCGACGCGTTTCAGCCGCATCAAGTCCTCTTTTCGCTCTTTCGCTCTGCGCCTCTCTGATGAGCTGGCATTGGGGTCGTCGGGAATCTCTGCCAATTTGGCGTCGAGAAGCGCAACATCGGGGAACGGTTCGGCAGCATCCCTTTCCTGGGTGGCTTGAGTTGGATTTCATTTGTGATGATCGAGTCTTACCTTAAACACGATGCTGTCTTCGGCCTCACCTTCTGAGCCAGGCATCTTCTCCAGGCCACTCTCTGCAGTCATGCACTCCTGTCGGGTCCGATACATCTGCCATAAGGCCAGGCTGACGTACATATGCTTATGATAGAGCCGATCGGCCTCATCGACCGCAAACGGCACTAGCCTCGCATCTTTGTCGAGTCTTGTTGGTCCGCTCATCCCAAACGGAAATAAAAACGGCCGCGACTGATCTGTCTGGTATTGTTGCTTCTTGGGTTTAGGCTGATTCTGGGGTATCGGAGGCGGAGACGGTGCTGGTGTCGCCGGCTGCGGAATACGTCCAGGGGCGCCTGTAGCATGATACGGATGGAATTGCGCGGAAGTTTGGCCGGCTTCGGGTTCTTCATGATGATAGTGGTGGCGCACAGTAATCGGGGAATAAGCCTGTGCTAACCGGGAAGTCGTGATTGTGATAGGTTTGGGCGCTGCGATTTCGGCGGGTTTCACCGTGAATGCGATGTGCTCCGAGTGCTGTGTGAAAGTTGGATATTTGACGGTCGTCTCTTGGTGGAAAGTCTCCATATCCAATGGTGTTGTCTTGATCGGCGCATCATCTGCCGTCCGTCAATCCACGAAGAGAGGGTGGGAGATTCTGTGCATACCTGCATCAGAGACTGCCGGTAAGCCACCCAATTCTCGTGCCAATTTCTTCACACGTGCATGGTCGCGGACTCCCCCACAACACGAAAGCAACGTCTTCCAAAGCACCAAAAGTAGCTGCCATGCACAATCCGATTGTTGCTCATAACTCAATGGAAATGCGCGCACCTTTTTTACAGGGTATCCCTTGGCACTTTTGTCACGCAAGCCGGCAACGACACTGAACAGGTATACAGGCAATGGCGGGTCAAAGCTCACTGCATTGCCACGTGTCAGAAGCGATATGAAGTAAGCAGGAACTGCGCACTCAATTCATCCGCAAAATCATCATGGCCCTTGAATATCTCAACGAGATGATACAGCATGCCGAGGTATACGGAGATCTCGGTTTGAGCTTCCTCGATAAAGTCCGCCTTTTCGGCAGCCGAGATGTGAATGTGCTCGGCGTCAGCATCGGAAAGGCCGCTACGGGGAACATGAGTTGGTGTGCATAGCACGCAGTCATTGAACTGTCATACCATAGCAAGTCGTGCTTCGAGGTGGCGATCTTGAGCGCTTCAATGATGCTGCTCAGACCGTTGGCGTTTCGAACGATCTTGCAGTTCTCGAATATCCAGTGCAGCTGATGTTCCGGAGAGACGGTTTCCGCAAAAGTCCCTGTTTCTCTTGCTCGACAGGGCGTGAGATGGACATCTGACAACGACGGACCTTGCAAGATGTAAAACAATCTTCGTGCGTTCGTGAACCGGATTTCAGCATTCTTATGTTCCAAACTCTCGAGAAGGACGTCGACATGTGAACGACGCGTTCCGAGCGGGCTCTTGGTCCATTCTTAGGATAAGACGCGTAAATGACACGCCGGGAACGTGGAATACGAGTGGCCTACCTCCCGAGAATGAACCCTCCCATGCCCTCAGATTTTCTGCGACCTGCGGCATCTCAACGTAAGAATAGAACTCGTCGATCTCATTCATGACTGTGTCTTCGTCGTCGTACTTGTAGTCATACCACCATTGCTATCGAGACCGTCAGCGCGACTGGTCAGAAGGAGACGGTGCAATCGGCGCACCCGCTCTTTGGGCATGGTGGCAACTATCTGCTTGAGCTGTCCAAGTGATATCGAGTCGATTCCACCCCCTTGACCGCCTGCGCCCGATGCATTTTCCGGTGGCTGGTTGTGAATGGACATCAACGACGACATCGACGACATCACAGCTGTGACGTGACGTATTTGTCCCCTCTCGTGCCACCTCGTCCCGAATCTTTCCCAGGAGGAGTGTAACGTAGCCCTCACGAAACACGGGCTCTTTCCGCGAATCACTGCCGCGAACGCTGGTCACCGGAGATGGGGGCCGTGGCCACCCCGGATCCCAGATCCATTCCTGGGGATCATATCTCACGGTCCGCCTTTCATATCGTGTTGTCAACGCCGACAGTGCACGCCGGCATTGCATCGCGCTGTTTGAAACGACAGATCGCAGTTCGTCATGATACAGATGTCCACAGGCCTCAGCGCACAGCAGTCACCGATGACTCCAACGGCGGTGACCCCATGCTGGCGTCACGATCAGATTGTTCGGCGGTTGCCGCACTGTTTGGTTGTCCACGTGGCGCTGCTATCGATTTTCTTGGAGCTTGTAGAGCATCTATCTGGGTAAAATCAGCCCGGAAGGGCTAGTCTGTAGCCGTAGCATCTCCATAATGACTCGTGAACTAAGGAGACAACCATCCAACATCTATTGTGAGATCGCTGGAAAAACAAACAACGCGTGCGTTCGGCATCGGATCTCGGCACAGGGGTATAAAGAGCAAAAACTTGTTGGAGAAGACCACTCTCTCAGGCGGATCGACACCCCGTCGATTCACTCTCCCCGCGACGACCATCAGACTGAAGAGAGAGCCAAGCTCCTTGACGAGAGTTTTGCCTTTCTGCGGTACAGGTCACCCTCTCCCGACTTTTCCTGCCCAGGGCTCCCAAAAGGCACGCCTTTGTTGTGCGTTTGCCATCGCCTCGCCACCCCCGGTCTTGTCCCCTTCTCACGACTACCCTTACGACCCCCGAGACTCCGTTCTCTCTCTTTTCGAGAAGGAGCGGACTCTGAACACCGCAGTCGCGCCGCCTGCTTGTGTGGCGACTTCTGCGATCTCGCCTAGACCCCGTCAAATGCCCGTTCCGGTCCCTAGAGTTTACAAGCAACCCGCCCATTCCGTCAAGAAGCCCCGCATCGTCTCCAACCCTCTGCAAAGCCTGACTTGCTCCCTGCCAGTCTCTCCTCCCGGGCCTCCTCCCTCCTTTGGGACCCGCGAAGAGTGGATCAACTCGCTGCCTACGTGGAGGAGGACTAAGCCGCGCCACATTTGGGAGGAGGACTCTCGCCTCGCCGGTGCCCGTGCGGAGCCGGGTTTTCACAGTGGGTTGGCAGTTGCGCCGAACGACGCACCTGCTATTAAAGGATCTCGCGCTGAAGCGTGTATTCCGCCCTTGTCCTCCATGTTTCCCGCCGAGCCTCTTGGCTTCGAGGGAGACGCCGACGACGAAATGAGCTCAGACTATTCGCTCGTGGAGAGGGTCAGCAACGACCGTGACTCGGACTGGAGTTGCAGCTCCATGGGGATGGATGTGGACTATCATTCTCAGGCGGAACTCAGTGTTTATTCCCCGCCGACAATCATCACCCACGGCTTGTACGAGCGTGGCGCGTTCACCCCCGTTTTTGAGGACCAGTCTCCCGGCGTTTACAGTGGCCCCGACCAGTCTTCGAGCCCCATTGGTCCAGTCACTCCTTTTGGCGAATACGTCGACCGTGTGGTCGCCGAAGGTGCCAAGTCTCAAGCGGAGTTGCCAAGCTCTGCCCCGCCGTCTTACGATGGCCATACTTTCGAGAGCAGTGCCGACGCTCGCGGGCAGAAGAATGTCGCCGATTCTGCTCCGGCTCCTGAGGTCGTAACGCCAACCGCCACTGTTGGGTACCGAAAGCTCGCTGAGCCACTGGCTGATTGGGTTGCCAATTATGTTTGGAAGGCCTGCACGACCGGCTTCAGTCTTCCTCCTGCCTTCATTTGTTCCTCGTACGTTACAAGCGGTGTGATCTGTGAGCTTCTTAGAGCTGATTGTCTTCTTACAGGGTCCCTATGAAACCGCGTGCGAGTTCACCGCCAAGCTATCTCGCCAGTGCCGTTCATTCGCTGCTCCTGTCAACGTTGCTGCAGCCATCAGCTGTTTTTCTTGCTCTGTGGTACATTGTGCGGCTCCCGGTGTGCTACGATGCAGCGCCGTTGGGACCCGCCTTTGGCAAGGAGTCGATCTTTAGGGCACATCTGCTCGGTATGGGCTACGATCAAGAAGCCAGTGAAGCCTCGGCCCCTTTCCGGTTGGTCGTGCTCGGATGCATGCTTGCGAACAAGTGGCTCGATGACCACACGTTCTCGAACAAGACTTGGTACGTTACTTCTCGCAGATATATCCTGATTTAGCACGACTGATGACGATTAGGCACTCCATCTCGAACGTTCCCATCCACATGCTGAACAAGCTCGAATCTCTGGCGCTTGACATCTTCTGCTATGATCTCAGTGTTTCGACCTCCGATTGGTCGAAGTGGCTGACACATCTGATGTCATACCACCAGCTGCTTGCGTCGCCGATGCTTGGTCCCACTGGACTGGGTCGCCCTCAGCCGATCTCGCGACCGTCGACCACTCCGCATGGCATTATTCGTCGAGCACTCGAGGATATCAGCCACGCACGGAGTGGTGCCGAGCCGGTGTTTATCGGTCTGGATGAACGGCGACGCGATCGGATAGATCGTGACAATGCTTCGGCTGTTGTTCAGGAGATTGACTTGGACGAAGATGGGCCTTTGAGAGAGGAATATCTGCCGAAACGTCGGAGCTCGGGATCTATCCGGAGTTTCGACGAGGACGTCATACATGGGCAGAATCAGCTCCCACCACCGGCGCCCTGGAGTCCCGCTGGAGATGAGCCTATTCTGCGGGACCGCAACCGAGTCAGTGGTCATTATGTGGCAGTTCAAGCGCCGCTCATGGTGTCGTATCCGGCTGCACCCGCCGTCTTCCACCACCACATGGCCCACGATGGTCAGAACCAGAACTGGCCCCCCGCGCCGACGAGCTATGCTCCGGCCAAGCCTGCCGCGGTCGTTGGCTACATGTTCGACACTGCGGTGTACCCGTTCGTTCCCACGCATGCTGTGCACGGCCACCATCGCTCTCAGTCTCTTTCTTATGATCAAGATAATACACACTCGCGTAATCGCCTGCGGTCCTGCTCCCAGTCGCTGGGATACCATGCACGTGATCCCCACGTGGCTATACCAGGGATGGATCCGCGGGTGCAATGTCACCACTGGGCCCCGGCGCCAGCTCATTACGGATATCCTGGGCTGTGGGTTCTCTGAGCTAGAAGATTCCCCCTCCGCATGCATGCCTTTCTGACACATCTATCATACCGCCAACCTGTACTATTCTGCTTCCCGTCGTCTGTCTCTTCCCGACCCGACTCGACCCATCTTTGGCCCCGGACATATCCATCCTGTCTGCAGGGGCCATCCATCCATCTGACTGCTTCGAATCTGTCGATTTGCCACGGACTCTGGCGGGGGCATTCCCACGCTTGTGGCTTGCCTCGCCTCTGCCAGTTGCCTCTTTCGTGTTGTCTGGTATTTATACACCTGCCTTTCTCTTCGCTCTCTGCGTTTTTTACCTACTATCCTTGTAGGGCTCCATGGGAGCCACCAAAAAAAGCGCAAAATCGTTACAGAAAACCCAAAAAAAAACATATCTTCCTTCGCCCGCCACCCACTTTTACCCACCTATTTACCTACCTGCCGCACTCCCTCCAACCTCCCTCCTTTCCGCTGTACTCGCGTACGTAGTTTCATGCCTTGGGATGTCAAGAATACCACATTCTGTTCCCCCACCAAAAGTAAATGATAAAGTATGTTTTGGTCCAGGTGGGAAAAGCATGGATTGGTATTTGTTTGTGTGGTCAGTACAGGATACATTTGATTCGTGTGCTATCTACAGGCGGACAACCAAGAACGGGACCTCGACGTCCTCGCCCTCCTCGTCGACGACCATAACCTCCGCGAGCAGGTGTTTGGTGTGCGGAGGAACGGGCTTCTTGCTAACGGTCTCGACCAGCTTGCTGAACTTGAGCGGCAGCCGCTCCTCGCTCTTCTTCTTGGGCAGGAACCCGCTCCAGAGCATGCTCACGCCCTGGCTCATCATCGTCAGCTCCAGCTTGTGCTTCTCCTGGAACCAGGTAATAATCTCCTTCAGCGTCGGGTCGTTGTTGAACTCGAAGCGATCCCAGAGCGTCCATTCGGTCTCCCCGTATTTTTGCTTGACAGGCGCAATCGGCTCTGAGAACCCGAAGAAGGGCAGCGCCAGGTTTACGAATCCGTTCTTGTAGTCGTCCAGCTTCGTCTTGCCGTCGATGAGCTGTGCGATTAGATGAGATGGGACGAGATGAGGTAAGGTGAGGTTGGAGTCCAGGATTAGATCCAAGCTTACCTTGTATAGCTCGAGACAGACCAGCCCGGTGACGAGCGCAGTGGTTGTGGCAATAGCGGGGATGATCTTGCCGGCGATCTGCTTAATCTTGTGGCGTTCGGCAACAGCGATGCTGTAATTGGTTGCGCGCAAGTTCGCAGACGCAGCGATAAAGTCGATGTGGAAGTTGCTGTCGTCGTCCTTCTCAAAGTCGACCGGGTTCAGCCGGTACCCTGCCAGAGATGACGGAGCGGGCAGCTTGGAGACCAGTTCCCCCAGATCACCTACAGCGAGTCAGGATCTAGGCACCACAGATCGCAGCAAACACACTACTGGCCTTCGTCTCCCCCAGCCGGGGCAGTCGGGTCGCTGTCGTTGATCTGGATCTTGACCCCGCTTTTGGGTGAAAACTCGGGCACGATCACAGCATCTGCAACCTTGCGGAACACTGCCGGATCGGTCTCCCCGCGCAGCCCGTAGTTGAATGCATGTAGATTCGCAGCGGAGATGATGAATTCAAGGTGCAGTGGCTGTAATGAGGTGTATTAATCAGAAACGGGGATTTATATCACACGCGAACAACGCACATCGCTCGAATCGAACTGCAGAGGCTCCGGAGCTCGCTTGGGTCCGCTCCAGAATGGCTGCCCGGTGCTCGTCAGCGAGTCTTTCGGCAGGCTGAACAAGAGCTGCTTGATGTCGTTGGTGAACTTCTCCTCGAATTTGTGCCGCGCCCAGACGATGCACTCTTCGAATGTGATCGGTTTGTCGGTGACCAAGAATGAGTGAATCTGCTCCACTTGCTCATTCTGCTGGCCCGAGTACTTGAGCTGCGTCTCGAGATAGTTCGGCTCCGACAGGTAGGCGTTCACGGCCGACGCGGGATCCACAAACATCTTGTCAAACTCCGTCCGACTCCACTGTACCGAGTCGTTAGTACCAAGCGTCATCTTGCAGTGCCTATGATCCTTACCTCGATCGTGTGCTCGATAGCGTTAGGGAAGCTCTTGACGGTACACATCGGGATCGACTTCTCAGGCGGATCTTGAGACGAGGCATACGACTCGGTCAAATGGGGGACGACAACTTGCACGTTGCCCTGGGTTCCCAGAGTCCCCGACTCGAGCAGAGGCTTCTTATAGAACACACAGCGCTGATCCATATATACACGGGCTTTGAGATTGTCCAGTGCGTTGGTCACTCCATCGAGGCTGCTGAAAAAGTCCTCGTCGTAGATGTCTGTGACGGTGATCAGAAATTCAGCCCAGTCAAAACACTATCACTGACTCTCGGTATCCGGGCCAACGGCATCCTGCCTCGCTACGATCTTGCCCTTGAGATCAGGGTTCATATCGGCAACGGCAGCAGCAGCAACCTCCGATTTGAATTTACCGAGATCCTTTGCCCGGAACAAGAACTGTCGGTTTAGGTTACTCTTCTCGATCGTATCCAGATCCGTGACCTGGATCTGTCCCTTAGGTCCTGTGGCCAAACCCATCATACTCCAGTTCTTCAGCATCTCGCACCCAATGGCGCCGGAGCCAACCAAGAATTCACGGAAGTTAACCACCTTCTCATGGAACGTCTTGCCAAACACGGCGATCTGCGCGTCGTAACGCGAGCCAATCGGCTGGCAATCGGCCTCCGTGGGAAGCGTCGAGGGCAGCGATTCGAGGGAGTCGAAGTACATATGTTGCAGCATCGGGTGGAATTTGCTTGTGCAGGCTTTGAGCACCTCCTGTGCCACAAAACCTCCGATAACTGCGACGAGCGGGGGAACGTCGCCACTGGCTTGATAAGCAAGTTCGGCCAACGTCTTCTCGTCCACATCAGGCTCCAGTTTCTTCGCCAGGACAGCCACCTGCGCAGCATCTTCCGCATTGCGCGGCCGAGGAAGACGTCCGTTCTGCTGCTTGTACTCGGAGACCGCCTGGAAACCAGCGTGCAGAGTTGCAAGGCGCTCGAACTTGGCAAAGTCTGTGATGAAGTATTCTGGTGTCTTCAGGGACTCCTCGAGGGATTTCTGCAGGAAGGTCATGACACAGTCGGCATTGAAGAACCGGGGGAACATACAAATGCGATGGTCTTCGGCATCTTGACTTGAGTGAAGATTCCACCAGCCTTGTATCCAGACATATTGGTCGTATCACCAATAGAGAAAGTGTACGGGCCCTTGACAGTAACTTTCCGGGGTGTACATCCGTTGAGCTCAGTCATGCCTTGCACTTCCGCGAAAGTAACGTAGTCGCCATCCTCTAGTCCGTGGCGGGTCTCGTCCAGGCAAGTTACTAATCCGTCAGCAGACTAGAAAGAAAGTTCATTCGTACGCAGCCAAATCAACAAAAGCGCTGATCTTTCACCTGCTCTACCTCGACGATCATGCCCGACAAAGGTTGTTGGCCATTGGTGTCCACACAGACGAATTCCGGGCCAAAGTCATTGAACACAGACCTATCATGAGCGACGATTAGCAAAATGAACAACTGCGACTCCAGATCTTCACCCAAACAGACCGCGCGTCTCAGCCGCGATGAAAGCAACGCCATTCTTATGTGTCCAAGCGTTGATCTCAAGCTGTTTGCTCCACGACGTGTTGCACAGCACAACAGCCTGATCGTATGGAGTTAGTACACCTTAGCGCTATAACCGTGTCAATAGCAGCGCACCTGGAAGCCCTGAACGAGCTCTACCGAGACCTCCTGCCCGGCACTGCCCCCCAAGTTTCGCACAGGGACGTACGCGTTCAATTCGGCTAGTCGCGGGAGCGTCGCCTCGGCGCGGCTCTTCCCAACATCCTCTGCGCGCAGAAGGAACTAAACGGTGCTCAGATGGCGTTCGACGCGTCCAGATGACAGAGACATCTCACTTGCGAGCTGAGATCTTGCAGCGTGACTGGTTCGGGATCGAAAATCGTAACAGACTTGACCCCGGCCAGGCAGATATCCTTGGCTATTTCAAGTGGCATCGGACCGAAGGACTCATGGACGGATGAGAGAGAATGGACGCACCGATTTCGACACCAAGTCCCTGCATCCCCACTATGAGAACATTGGAAGTGGCCATCTTCTTCATCGCTAGACACGTCTCTGTGACCCCGCTCAAAGCCCGCATACTACTATTTGAGCGCACCTTCATGGCCCAAGACGTATCTAAGAATCCAATGAACACGCGAGGCCACCACGGATATGCGTGGAAACTTACAGTTGACGCGAGTACAAGCTCTCATCGATGGTGGGCTCATCGACATCCATCTTCGTGTCGACTTTGGATGAGGTCGCCATCGTAGCAGACGGATTTGGTTGGTATTAGTGTAGTTGGTGGTTGCGGGTGGAAGTCAGTCGTAAGGGAACCAAAGATCGGGTCCGCTTTTGATCAGCACGTGAAGCCCTTCGGTCACCTTCAGTTACATTCTAGCACATCTCCTCAATACTACTTGAATGACTTTTCATGATTGTACTGACTCCGCAAGACAAAGATATGAGTGATAAATGCTAAGGATGACCGATGGTTGATCTCGCGTCGGTATGCGAAGTGATGATGTCATCGACCAGCCAAGCAACAGCTTTGTTACTTGCGGTAGAACTGCCGAACAGTCAGCAAGAAAAATAGAGTAGGACGAGACGAGCGACGCACAGCCCGCCTATAATTAAACCACAAAGATAAGCAGCCCCGATCAAAACTGCTTCGGAAACCACTGTCTTTCGGGTAAGTCTTGGGCTATAGGCGAGACTCAGAACGCACCGCTTGTGGGAGTACTCCCATTCCCTATTGACGATTCGGAAAGCTATATCCTCGTAGGGCGGACCGGCACTGAAATGGAGCAGAACTGTATCCTCATTTCCATCCTCCTTGACGATCTTGTATGTCGGGGCCTTGGACTTGTCGATGAGATCGGGATAGAAGATGTTAAACTGCAAGAGATTAGAAGTGGCGAACTGGCACCCCTGCTTTGACTCACTTTATAACCCTGGACAACTTTAGGCGGTGGATTGTCCGTACTGAGGCCGCATCAGGAACGTGAGCAGAAGATATCGAGGAGAACATACTCGTAATGGGTCTGATTGTACTTGTTCCATTCGTATCCTGTGTGGACACGATTGAAATAGCGGGGTTTCCTTGGTCGGTATTTGTCTTCCCAGTTGTACGATGTAGGATTTGATATGTTTTCTTCCAAATTGAACAGTTCCTCTTCTTCGTCAAGTTCTCTCTCGGCCTCGGCGCGGAACAGGGCTTCAGACGCCAGGTCTGCGTTACTCTGAGATGGCTCCTCGGGAATGTCAGCTATAACAGGTGCCGCTTTGGGCACGAACCGAGAGGCTGCAACGGCCCGTCGTTGAGCAAACTATGTGTCAACATCAGTAAGCGGCACAGAAGGAGCAAATCTCCACTTACCAGAGCGCGTCGGTATTCAAGCTCGGTGATGATATCCATCTCTCGTTCCTCAGTTGAAAGTTGGGTGATATCGAGCAGAGGTGGCTCCATTTCCTTGCGATATTCCTCGATTTCTTCGGCAGGAATCATTTCAACTTCGGAAATCTGTCCCTCGTGAATGACTTCATTTCGTCTTGAAGCAGCCTTGGCGACACCAGCCAGCAGTTCCTCCTGAGCCTGAAGTGCTTCGTCCCTCTGTCTTTTGCGGAGTTGCTCTAGACGGTTTCGTACGACAACTTCGTGAAGACTCTTCAACTTGGCCTAAAACCATGTCAGCAAACATCCATCTCGAGACGAGATTCATATACCTTTGATTTCCAAACGAGCAGTTTCTTGAGGAGATTCTCCCAATAGTCAGTATCCACTGGTTCTCCGCTGGTCAATTTATCTTGGATCTGCCTCTGCAACGAGGCGAGCTGATCATAGGTCTTGGTGGACAACAAAGCGGATATATCGGCTTCAACGGCGGCGGCAGCTTCAACACCCATTTGTTGGCTTGCTTTGATTCGCTCCAATCGGTCTTTACAGATGACCATCATGTTCTGCCAGAAGATCAGCGAAAGACTTCACAGCACGAAGGAATACGAACCGTCCAGAAATCGATATTGGTTTTGTCTTGCTCCAGAGTCAAGTATAGCTCGATGTCTTCGTGAAGCTCTTCGACTTGTTCTGAGGTCAGGTTCTGAAACAGAGAAACATCAGAGCGGGCAATCTATCCAAAAGAGATACTCACGTCGAGAATATTGTAGGGCTCATCCAAGTCAATCTCCAGACCGGCGTCCTCACCCTTCTCCTCCTCTTCATCTGAGGGAGGATTCACATATTTCAAGTTGAGCGCCAAAAAGTCGATGGCCTTCGCCCGCTTCTCCGTGATCCGTATAGCAGCCCGACTGCGCTCTTGCTCGAGACGGAAATCTCCTTCCTTTGAGAGCCATTCGGACATCTGAGCTGATTCTTGCAGTCTGGCCATCCTCAGCTCCTCCTCCTCTCTCAACTGCTGATCCGCCTCCCGCTCAGCGCGCCTGCGGTTGAGTCGTTCCAGCTCCTCCTTAGCCTCGGCGCGCCGCAAAGCGTCTCTTCGTTGAGAATCCAAAGTCGACATGCCCTGCTTGCGCTCCTTCTCATTCTTCTTGTGCCAGCGGAACTGTTGACCCAGGTTCACGTCATGGAACGGATTGTCGGTAGCGCTGTAGACGCTGAGTTCGGCCACCTTTCGCGCCTCGTCCTCCTCCTTCGCACGCTTCTTTTCCGCTTTGCGCGCCCGCCGCTCTTCAGAAGTCTCACGTTTACGCCTGCGAGAGAATGAAGGACTGCGTGGCGCCGAAATTCGAGAAGATATGCACCTCTTGTCTTTATCCCTACTCTCCCGCTCGCGATCCTTGCTTCGGCTTCGGTCCCGTTTACGGCGTGAATAGTCACGTCCATCTCGCTCTGCACTGCGGCTGCGGTCGCGCCTCCGCCGCTCGCGGTCATCGACTTCTGTCCGTCTGTATGATGAGTTCTTGTCCACTTTCTTGCTGTTTGCATACCTCCGATGCGGTGAAGGGGATCGACCCATGGATGTCTTAAAGTTATTGGGCGCTGAGAACAACAAGGTAAGTCGCTTACGATATCCAGATCAGTCAACTGATCAACATGCACGGTGATCGTTGATCGTGCCAACGCGCGGTGCTTCCTCTCTCTTGTTCGTATCGGTGTCTCGGTCTTCCAGCCAAGGCCCCGGGCTTGAGCTTTGTTTATCAATGCTCTGTGGCAGCGGTTTTGGTCGTCAAGCACGCGCACACCTCAATCGATATGTTCGAACACAAGCACACCAGTATGGGGGTGCGGGGGCTGAGGGATTCAACTCTGGCCTTGGGGAAAGAATGCTGCCTAGATTCACACCGCCTTTTGGAATGGCGACACCCCGGCAGGTAAATTGAACACTTGCTCCTGGGATGTTGACTGGTATATTCTAGTAGTTGTCTCAATATCTCGACCAATTCGTTATAGGGCAGGAGACGGCGAAGAAAGTCCTTTCTGTAGCGTGAGTTCTATTATGAATGAAGCATATCCTTTTTCTTTGCCATCGCAATAATATGAAATGCCAGCGTCTTCAACCACTACCAACGAGTTCACGCGAACATGGCTGCATCCGATACTCGCAATGAGTTTGTGCACGGTCCTGAAGAACGTTGTATGTCTGATGAAGAAATGCTCTTCCATGCAAGGTCTCAATCTTTTGGTCTTTGCAGATTCCAACGTTTCTACTGCACAAATACGACCTATGCGGAAGGCACCTGCAGTCCGACCGTTTACACCTGCTCCGGCTCTCTTTGACAAGAGCAACGTTCTGATCATGTGCGCATGACGATGTCTGGTATCTGGTATCTTGTCTCACTGTTTCTCCAGTGGACCGACTGGATCTGGTGCGCTCAGTAAACACTGCCGCAGAGCTATGTCGTGATCGGCTTGTCCAGGCAAGACTCTTCTAGTCCGGACGCTGGCAAGGGTTCTCGATGTCCCTTTCTCTGTCAGCGATGCGACATCGTTTACTCAGGTATTTCATCCTCTCTCCGAATCTAGCAGGTCACCGACGTTGATCGACCAGGCAGGTTATATTGGGGACGATGTTGACAGTTGCATTGAGCGGCTGGTATAACTGCTTTCCTTCCTCTGAAAACAAAACCCACTCGAATTATAGGTTGCGATGGCCAATGACGATCCAATTCGCGCAAGGTACCTGTTCTTCCAGTCTTGCAACTCCAATCTCAGCATCAATCTCTAGCACGGGCATCGTATACATCGACGAAATCGACAAGATTTCGAAGCGAACAGGGGTAGATGGATCCCGAGATGTTGGTGGAGAAGGCGTTCAGCAAGCCTTACTGAGGATGATGGAAGGTTCTACCGTGACGGTCAAAGCTCAGGGCGCAAGAGGTGCGGACTTTGTTTCTTGTGATCCATAAACCTAATTACCCCTCAGGAAAGGACGAAGCGCCACTACAGATTGACACCACGAACATCCTCTTTGTCCTCAGCGGCGCCTTTGTTGGCTTGGAGAACTTGGTGAGGACCAGGCTGGCAGAGAATCGAGGGGTACGCCATTGTTCTACGCGCATTTCTTGCTCTAACCAGTTTTACAGGCCATGGGATTTGCCTCTAAGACATTTTTCACTCCTACGCCCAAGGCTCTCGACCAAGTCGTTGACCCCAGCGGTGAGTGTCTGTCCACCCGCGATGTACGCATCCAGGCTTACATTGTCTAGACCTCGTCAAATACGGGTACTCACAACATTGACTCTTGATCCAAACACGGCTGATGGATTCCTAAGCTTCATTCCGGAATTTATCTCCCGAGTTCCATCCATCGCCACTCTCGCCCCCCTCTCCGTTCCTGATCTACGCAGGATACTTACTGAGGTCAAGGGTTCTCTGATTTCGCAGTACCAGGCCCAATTTGGTAACATCGGTGTCGATATCAAGTTCACCAGCGGTGCTCTCGACGAAGTGTGTCTCAGGGCTATAGAACGAGGCGGGGGAGCTAGGGGATTGAGAGGCATTTTGGCAAGTCGTCCTGTGCGGTATCTATCTCCACTGAACTTGTGGTCTAAAGGAAAAGGTTCTGCTCGAGCCTATGCACGATGTTCCGTGAGTTTCTCCATCAAGCAACGATCTCTGGTTGACTGATTTACCGCAGGGGCTCTGATGTCCGACATGTGCTGATCACCGAAGAGACAATACGCGGTGAAGCGCCTGCTCAATGCTGGACGAGTGAAGGGCAAGGAGTCGAATTCTGGGAAACATGGGCAACTCATGAGCGGCAATATCGTGACGCGAAGGCTGCAAAGGCCTAGCACCGCGGTCACGATCTCATTGTAGTACCGGATTGTAGTAATTATTCCAGCATATGTATATCACACAATCATACAGTGCACAGTATTGAATTTCGTTTCCTAACCAACGCAGGCTGCATCTACTCGGCGGCGGCGGCAGCTTCAGCAGCGGGAGCAGCAGACTCTTCCGCAGCCGCGGCGCTCTCGGTCTTCTCAGCAGCCGTGGCAGCGACCGTCGGGGCGGCAACCTCCTCGGTGGTAGCCGTCTCTGCGGCAGGGGCAGCAGGAGCAGTATCGCTGGACGTCAGAGACGCGTTTTTCTTCTGGGCATCCTCAAACGCAGTCTTGAACTCTCCAGCATCTGCAGAATTTTCAGTCGGCCTCAAAGGAATGCGTCAGTGGATGTCTCACTGTCCGAGTTGGCAAATCGGATAGCCAGGGTCTCCGCCGTGGGAGGGTTCTCAGAGTAGTCAGCCAACACCTTCCAGACCCAGGAACGGTCGGAACCGATGTTGGGTTGGAGACGCATATCGGACGAAACTAGTCGATCATGAGTCAGACGACGGAAAATTTTGGAAGACGGTGTGCACTCACTGACGTGGTTGGCGCAGACTTTGAGCGTCTTATCACGCCTCATCACCAGCCGCACTTTCTTGGTCTCCTTGTGAGCGAGGAGACGCACATCGCCGGTTCCGCGTTCCTTCCACTCTGAAGAATCACCGTCGAATCGGAAGAGCTTCGCGCGCCTGCAGAGATAAAGACCGATCATGAGTGGGATGTGAGCCTACGATCGCGTCGTTGAGCACGTACATCTTGAAGAGCACATCCTCGTCCTCTTCGTTGGTTTTCGTGTCAACCTGTTCAGTGAGCTTGATGACAGGCTCAAACTGAGGGTCGGGGTTCTCCTCCTCCTGCAAAACGAAGAAAGCCTCAAGTCAGATTTGCCATTACGTCGGTTAGATGGTCGATGGGGCCGCAGATACGATGCACCCGTCATCTGCGATAGAAAAAAAAATGAGCCCACCTTGGCAGCCAGAGGGTTATCGAGTGCAGACATCGTGAAAAACGTGAAAGAGATAGAGAAACGCGGGTGTATGTAGTGGGGGTCAGCGACAAAAGGGCAAAGAACTTCGATCCGTGGCTGTGCAGTTCGTGACTTCCACACACGTCTTACTTCGGAACTGCATTTTGTGGCACGAAATGGTTGCACTGGCCTGCCCCCGTTCTCTCGTCTCTATTTGCCTATCTATACTTCTTGCGCTTCCTGCTCTTGTCTCCGCCCATTTGATTGATATCGAAGCTGGAAAGAAAGAATGTTTCTTCGAAGACCTGCACATACATGACAAGGTGCCGAATCTACGCGTTGACTCGTCGCCCTCGGTCTCACGACGCCCAGATGACCGTCACGTATCAAGTCGGTGGAGGTGGACATCTGGACATAGACTTCTGGGTACCCAGACTTGGTGGGATTCCCATGCGGTGGCTTATGTCTTCACAGATGCAAGACCCCGACAACCGTCTGCTGGGCAAACAAATCCGACAGTCAACAGGAACACTTGCGATAACCGCCGAGAAAGACGGGCGACACGAGTACTGTTTCTCCAATCAAATGAGCGCCATCGCAGACAAGATAGTCAGGTGCGTGCGTTCATACAGTCCTGACGTGTCTGTACCGCTGACACGAATAACCCAGCTTCAACGTGCATGGCATCATCTATATCGAAGAAGACGGTTAGCCTTTCTTCACGGAGTCATGATGCACGCCTCATCCTTTCTCTAGCCGACATCGTTGCGCCCATTGAGCGTGAAATCCGCCTGCTCGCCAGTGGTCTACAATCCGTCAAGGACGAGCAGGAGTATATCGTCGTGAGGGAAAGGACGCACAGAAACACCGCCGAGTCGACCAACTCACGCGTGAAATGGTGGTCTGTTCTACAAGCGCTAGTGTTGTTCATGGTTGTAGGGTGGCAGGTGTACTACTTGAAGGTACGTGCGCATTTTCTCACCACTCTCGCGTTTAACCGTCTGGTGGCATATACAGTCGTTCTTCGAAGTAAAACGCGTAATATAATCTGCCTGTTCCGAGTCTCAATGCCATGGGTATATTTTGTACATACATAATAGGGTGTCACTGGAGACGATGAAATGCATAGTGAAACAGACGTGCATAGTGGAACAAATACAAATGAAAGCATCTACTCATCGCCATGTAGGTTTGCTCTTGTTCATGCTGATATCGGCACTAGTGTTGGCGTCCAGAGGGGCCAAGGCAGAAAGGCTCGCCATCAATGTAGATGGTCGCCCAACTTTCGATACAGGTTTCGAGTTGGACAAGCGTCTAACACGCTTTGCAGGGCTCGAAAGTAGTGCTCGGCGTTTGGGGGCTTCGCTATTGTTCACCGGAGAAAGTTGTGGAATCAGGCTCGATCTCCTCCGGCCTTTCCCACTCCCGCCGGCGACAGACCGTCGCCGACCTTTGGTGGAGCTCGAAAGCGCTGTCGGCCGTGAAGGAATTTGAGTGTCAACATCCATCCGGTTCTTCATATCTGACAGTGGACGCGGTTTCTCGGGACTGCTGCTCGATTCGTCACCCTCCGCGAGACTACCGAGGGCCGATCCCTTTGATTTCCCTTTGAGGAAACCTGGATCCAATCGACTAGGTCGAGGTCGCTTATTGCTCAGAGAGCCGTAAGGCCGGGATGTAGAGGCAGGGGCAGTCGCGGAAAGACTGAAGCTGTCGTCCGTTTTCTCATTCTCGTCCTCCCATTCGCTTTCTGAACCGCCCAGAGACATACTGCGATGAGGAAGGGTCGAGGACGTCCACGACGTCTCCGACATATCTGCGGGAATGACAGTCACTGCGTCCAAATCCCCTTGACCGGCTTCATCCCTCCACTGCACGTTTTTCGACGCAGGTTTCCGCTCCTTGTCGGGAAGACGTCGGTACGGCTGAAGACTAGCGCGCAATGATTTACGGGGTGTCCGGAAAGTGCGCCGCGGAGAGCCAGTCACATTGCTCGAGGAGGAAGTGCTCGGCTTTGAACCGTACGAGGAAGTCCGGCGGTTAACCGCAGGCTGCGTGCGCTTCTCGTCCGGTTGTTGCTGTTGCGAGAGTGCTGGCCCTGAACTGATGCGGCGACCGTAGCTGGTGGTATGACCGCTGAAGTGTTCGAGGGAGGATAGACCCTGGTCATTGGTGTACCTCTCGGTCGAATGCCCCACCAGTTTGACAAACGCTTCGTCGTTCTTCTGCCTGAGATTATTCAGGAGACCTGCAACGGCCCCTGGGTTGCCTCCAGAGGTATCCAGCGCGGTGGCGGCATCTCCGACAAGAACAGTGCATCGACCGAGCATGCCGACCAAGGTAACCAGCACACCAGCCATGTCCTGGACTGCTTCTCTCATCGCATCATTCTCGCCCTCAGCCTTGACGCGCTCCATTTCGGCTTTGCTGAATCGCGCTTCCAATTTGACACTTTCCGCACTGGCGTCGTCCAGCTTGTCAGATCGTCTCTCGGCCACAGCCCGCATCGTTGCATCGAACATCGCGTTCGAATTGGAAGAGTGGCGCACACGAGCACTAAGGGAAGAATCCGGCTTGAGCGCCGCCTCCTCGGGTCCAGCGAAGGCAAGGAGCAAGGCCTTTTCGGCCTCTAGATCAGCAGGAAGGGGAACTGAGCAGCGTTCGATCTCGGACAGGCGAGCTTTGATAGCATCCAGTTTGGCTTGGGCAACAGACATTTTGCCCGCACAGTTGGCGCCGTCAGCAATGGCTATCTTGTTTTGCTCGACCTTGAGCCGAACATCCTTTCTGGCCCGCTGAACCTCAGCCGCCGCTTCCGCCTTCTTTCGCCGCTGGATGTCGTTCTCCGTATCATTCTTTCCGGCCAACCTCTCCTTCAGTTCGGCTACTTCCGCATTGAGACGATTGATGGCTTCGACATATTGGCCCACGTGTCTGTCGACATTGAGCACATTGCGCGTAACGACCTTGGTCTTGATCTTCGTTGCCCGATCCGCGTAGACCAGCGTGTTATGAGTGTCCTCGAAATGGGCAGAGGTGGGTGCAATGCAGACGATCATCACAGTCTTGCAGTTCCCGCCCAGCGAGAATTTGAGTAGACGAGTGAGTTTGCTGTTGCGGTATGGAACGTGGCGAATAGCACCTCCGCTCTCACACAGAGCGTTGATGCAGTTGCCCAGCGCGAGAAGGGATTTGTTGATGTTGGCGCCCTCGACCATCCGCTGTCCCATGTTCGTAGTGGCAGCAGCCCGTTCGCTTCCAGCCAAGTCGATGATGGACAGCGTGCCCATGGTACGCTCTTCGGACAACGAGGCCGTGCGCGGGGATTGGGTGACGTGGACTTGCAAAACGGCGTGTGAACGAGAACTGGTGGCATTCGCGAGGGTCGGACTTTGCGTTCTCCTCACATTCCCCTGCAGCACGATCTGCTTTACTTCTTCTGCCGAATTCGGTTTGAGCTCGACCAATCCCGCCACCTTGACCGTTTTGTCTTCTCTGATGCATAACCCGCCGCGGGGTGCAGCCGAGCCTGGCTCTGCTAGCAGATCCCGGATCTCCTCATTGTAGATTTCGAGAAAGGTGACTGTGACCTCGACATTCCAGTCAGCCCGGCGGTCTTCAATCCTTTGAAAGAGGTCTGCCATGGTCAAGTAAATGATACCAGGATCCGCGTCCGTTCCGCTGATCGTATGTGTCTTGCCACAGCCGGTAGCCTGAAATGCCAATGAGATGTGCGGCATAAAAGACACAGCAGAGATCGTAACCCACGCCGTATGCGAAGACCGTTGCATTGTAGCCATCTAGCAGATTTCGAAGGAGAGGTTGTGCGGTCGATGCATACACGTCAGATTGATCCACCTCGTGAGCAAACACCTTGTCGAACATGAACCGTTTGTCTTTGTAACGTTTCGTTCCGGGCGGCATGAACCCTCGCTCAACGAAAGCCTTGGACTTGTCTCTCTCCTCCGGATCGAAAGTAAGGATTCGATCATCAATAATCTGAACCACTTCTCGTAAGCAACCTGCGTTCTGCGTCGCCCGGGGAGCTGCGAGAGCGCCGTCGCCCCGAATCGTAGTGTCATAAGATGGTTCAGGGAGCCGAGCTGATTCCCAAGCCGTGGGTGGCCGGACGCGAACTGCGATGCATTAGAGGGGTGTTGTGTTGAGATATCGAGCACGGACCTGCCACAGTAATGGAGCCAGCAGCGACCATGATGGTTTGTCGTGAGAGGAGTGGAAACTTCAACTTCGCGTCTTCCGAACACGTGAGCGCTCCAGCACGTGGTAGCGCGTTGTTGATCTCATCTGATTAAAACACCGATTATCGATAAGCGAACTGCTTCTTGTCTTGCCGTCATGAGCGAAATATCTATCCCGTCTCCCGCAGACTTTCATGTGCACCTGCGGCAGGGAAAGATGGCCGAATTGGTTACCCCTCATGTTCGCCAGGGCGGCTTCTCTCTAGCGTATGTTATGGTATCTGAACACATCTTGCCACCTCATGCACATCTCATACCCGCTAGCCCAATTTGAAACCCCCCATCACGACCACTGCACAAGCTCTTGCATACAAGGCGGAACTCGAGGCCATCGACCCACATGTCGAGTATCTGATGACCCTGTATCTGTCTCCCGATTTGACTCCGGAGGAGATCGTCAAGGCCAAGCAAGCCGGTATAGTTGGTGTGAAATCCTATCCTCGCGGGGTTACCACCAATTCGGATGGAGGAATTGAGTCCTATGAAATGTACTATCCTGTGTTCGAAGCCATGCAGGAACAGGATATAGTTCTCAACCTTCATGGTGAGGTCCCTTCCGACGCCGCGGCGGTGAGTACGCGGCCAATTACATTCGCCATCAGACACTGACTGATAACGCCCACAGAACATCCACGTTCTGAATGCGGAACCTTCATTCTTGCCTCATCTTCATTCCCTGCACAAGGCGTTTCCTCGACTTCGGATCGTACTTGAGCATGCAACCACCCGAGCTGCGATCGAGGCAGTGAAAGCCTGTGGTAATACTGTTGCCTGCACCATCACTGCGCATCATCTTGATCTCACCGTCGACGACTGGGCCGGCCAGTCCTTTAACTTCTGTAAACCGGTCGCAAAATACCCGGATGACAGACAAGCCCTGCGTGAAATCATTCGCGAAGGTGCGTGAGCTCGCAAGATAGTGGTTTTTCTCCTTTTAAATCTGATGAGTAGGCCATCCGCGTTTCTTCTTGGGCTCTGATTCGGCACCCCATCCGCATGAATCCAAGTCGACGAGCGCTCCGCATCACGGGTGTGCGGCAGGAATATACACATCTCCAGTTCTTCTGCCGCTAGTCGCGCACCTTCTAGAGTCTTTTGACGCTCTGGATAAGCTGGAGGGCTTCACAAGCGCCTTTGGACGTCGCTTCTATCGCAGAGAGCTCACTTCACAAGCTGGCAAAGTGACACTTGCGCGAAAGGCAGAGGTCGTGGAAGGTACGTTCGGTGAAGGTCCGGGAACGGTAGTGCCCTTCTGGTCTGGAAAAGAGCTGAATTGGAGTTTGGTCAAATGAAGTCATGCATTAGTGTATTAAATACAACAAATGTGCTATTAGTATACATTGTTCGGATTGTTGCACGAGGCATCATCCAGAAAGGTCGTCTGAAATGAGTACGATAGGAGTAGTGAGTCGTTTCCAATTCCACCACAAAAAGACAGCGTTTGCAAAGAACCAGATGATGACGGCGTACGTCATGAAGCGACGCCCATTCGGCCATTCGTTGCGCCCATAAACCTGGGCTTTCAGTTTCTCTTCCGGTAAGGACGCTACGAGATTTTGAAAATAGGCCAATGTTTCAGGTGCCGTCGGTCGTTTTGTGGGATCATCATCTCGAAGTCGGGCAATCCAAGGTTCCAGAAATTCTAGCTCGGCATATACTTGGGTATAATCTCTCGTGAGCATCTCTCCGATTTGTCTGCCTTGGCGTCAGAAAGCCCGGACACAGATAAGCAAAAGACGCACCTAATGTCTAGGGGAAATGGGTCATAAGGCACCTCCTCAGATAATTCGGGTATATTTCTGTGCTGCCCGCATAGCCCTTGCACCCTTCCTCGTTCTTCAAAGCTCGGGAACGCGCAGGCAAGCCCGAAGTCGATGAAATAATATCTTCGAGGAGCGACCGTTGGTCTTCTGGATTTCGGTTTGCCCTTACGATCCAACGGATCGTCGTCAATGGGCCGTTTGTCCCAGACTATGTTCGTGCGTGCCACGTCGCTAGGCCGCACTCAGAATTTTAAAACATAGGAAATGTCTGGACGAACGTATGGGCGATATTGTATCTGTGCATGAAGCAAACACCCTTTGGTGTATAGGAAAAAAGGCAGGGTTCAATCACTTAAAGTGCTCACCTCGATAACCTGAGTGATGAATTGCACCAAATCTTCGAGGGTACGGAAATGTCTTTCCCGACAGTCCGTCAGCCGCGGTGTTACGACGATACACCACTGCATTTGAGAGTCTGGGTCGTGTGGGGGCGTGATTACGTCGTATAAAGGAATGGTGTGATTATCCGCGTCCGGGAAGGACGCGAGGTCCTGAAAAATTTGGGCCTCCCAAAGATCAGTGCGAGTGAACTTGAGCATGACAGGCCGTTTGTCAGAAATGCGTACACCCTCCAGCAGGTGAGGATACTTCAGCGAGGTCAGTCACCAACGGCATATCTCAGAAAGTCAAGGCATACGTTGGGTTCATCCACATACCCCTTCGGCCGCTCTTTCCATGCCGACACTGTGTCTGGGTTATACTGCTTCGCTATTCGGTAGCCTCGTGTTTCAATCAGTGGCTGAAGCCGACACCACCGACGTTTGTGTGCGAGGTATCGCTCCCACTCCTCGTCCGTGAGTTTGACTTCGAGAGAATACCCATATTCGTCCATCTAGCAACCGAACCAAGAGAGAATGAGAAAAAGAAGACAGAAGTGCCGGCTCAATGTAGGGACATTGTCCTCCTGTGTCGGCGACTGAAGAAAAGTATTACCGGTCGTAACTCGGTCACTCTCAAGTCCGTGAAGGTGATCAGATCGATCAGGTGCCTTACTCTCTCGATCACGGGCGTTTGATGAGTCTACTCCCTCGTTTTCTGCGCTTTGCTCTCGTCGGTACCTGTGGAACCGGAGTTGCCGCATATCTCTTCATCCCAGACAAGTCTCGCGCAGCCCCCACTGTCAACGATGCATCACTCGCTCCCTCCCACTTTACGAAAGCGACCCTGACGTCCACTGTCCCTACCAGCGCAAAGTCGAAGATACTCGAACTGACGGTTCCTGAATTCCGCAAACATAATCCCGATTTCAAGAACAAGCCCATCTGGTCTGTGTATATCAAAGACGATGATATCCAGGTTGAGAGACCGTATACCCCGCTGGAGGGTATAGACGAAGAGGGACGCATGCGCTTTTGGATCAAGAAATATCCAAAGGGAGAGGTGGGACGGTGGCTGCATTCCAAGCAATTGGGAGACAAGATCGAGTTTCGAGGTCCATTGTCGACTTGGGCATGGAACGGAGGTCAGGAATGGGATGAGATCGTAATGGTGTGTTCATGGCTTTCCTGTGTACTGCCCTAATGAGGATTCGCAGATATCGGGTGGAACGGGAATCGCGCCATTCTATCAGCTAATCCATTCGGTTTTTTCCAAGCCTGGTTCGGTAAGCGAGAACGCACGATTCACACTTTTGCATTCCTCGCTATCGCCGGCCGAACTACCGCCTCCCGAGATTATGGATCCGCTCTGCGCTTATGCGAATGCATATCCTGACCGCTTTACTCTTCGATTGTTCGTGGACAGGATCGATGGGCAAAATAAGGGCCCATCACTGTGGGTCAGTCGGATAAACAAACCGGTTATCGAACACTGTCTTGGTCTGGCTTCATCTTGGTGGCAAGCAATATTTGCTTCCAAAAATCCCACTCAGAGAGATAAGAAGTTGTTCCTTGTCTGCGGTCCGGAGGGGTATGTGATCTATGCTCTTAAGTTTCTATTTCCATGATGTTCAGTTTTTTTGCCAGGATGGTTGCTGCAATTGCAGGTCCGTATGGTCGGAATTTTTCTCAAGGATCTGTTGGAGGGGTGCTGGGTGAGCTTGGCTTCTCAAGTAAAGAAGTTGTAAAGCTATGATTTTGTTCAAACACCATGTGGATTTTCAGCACCTGCGTGGCATTGTTTATTATTAATAGATCTTACTCATGCCAATTCTATTTGGTTTCTCTCCATAGACCTTTGTTCAAGGCATCTGCTGACAAAACTCAACAGTTGTTTATACTTGTTTGGACACTTTGACAAATACTATATAACAGGGCCACTTTGTTTACATGCATGTTTCACTGCCCCCGATCAACTACCATCTGTTATCTGTAAGGTTTTCTGTGCTCTGATTCTCTGCATAACTCCAACTGTCATAGACTACTCTATAGCTCTATACAGCAGAGGCCATTCAGTTGTCTCTATTGAATCAGAGAAATACACAGACAGACCCCAATCTGACTGAGGGATGACCAGAAGCATATTTGCGAACCTTCCTTCACAGAGGAAGAAGGGCAGAGAGGCTCTCATTCCAAGATTCCATCCTTCAGAAGGTAATGTACACTCCTCCACTTCTCATAGTGCCCCACTCAACCAAAGTGTAGTCTCCATTGCTACATCCCCGTCTTTGCCAACTTGTCTTGCACAACAAAATTCCACTTCTGAGGACAATATGGTTATATGGATTGTTCCAAAACTTGTGGACACATTTCCTCCTCACCAACAGCTGGACACTTTTCAGCAACCAAATCATCCTTCCTCTTTGCAAAAAGCAATGTTGTCACAGCAACCACAATTCATGGATTCTAGAACAGATGCTGCAACAAAGACTATGTATGGCCAAACTCCTTCCGCATTCCAAATCACTTCCAACTTGGCCACCAGGATCATTCTCCCTTCTTCTGATTCATCAACGGAACCAAATCTTACTATGGCATCCAGTTTGTCCCCATCATCATCCACAGACCAGAGCCAGTACCAGTCAGACAACCATCTTACAAGTCCAGCTACTACACCCCCCAACTCTCCATTGCTTGAACCACTGGACAGGTTGACATGGAATTCTGAATTTGTCCCAGGACAAAATAATGTGAACAACAGGAAGTTCAACAAGGATGTTGCAAGCTCAGCTTTGCCCCTCAGTCTTGCCAAGCAACAACCTCACATCCCTCGAGTCAAAGGGCTCAATCCATCAACCATCCAGAAGACCAGTATGATGGCACACAGCACCCGAACAAAGATCCCGAGTCCAGTCAGGCAAGAGACCACCAGGGTCCTGTCCAAACCGTTGTCTCGAGGCGGCTCGAGAAAGCACACTATATCACCTGTTCTGTCCGCAAGGCCCACGAAACAGATCACTCGACCTCCCAGAACCGCCTTGGGCTCGATCACACCGCCCGGACTTGTCGAGCAGGCTAGATGGCGCGCGGCTCTCCAAACAGCGGTCTACGTCATTTTCCACGGAAAGGAAAGACGCGGTGACGAGCAACGAGGTGATAGGGGCAGCGAGCGCGCCAATCTCATCACGCTGCTGAACAGCATTCTCGAAAAGGCCGAGTTGACGCCTCGAAAGTGGATCAACGAGAAGATCTGGCAGGGCGAACTTGGGCGCGCGATAGACCCAGCAGATATGCTCGGGTATATCATGCAGGGATACCGAACCCACGACAGCGAAGACGAAATAGCGAAATTGGCGGAAGGCATTCTGCGCAAGTGGTCCAAGAAGTGAGCTGCAGTCAGCGGCAAGGTCGTTCTGCTTCAGCAGCAGGGTTCGATGAACATCCAGCTGTACACGGCTAACCGCTAATTCTCAGAATTCGGGATGCTGTCGAAACTTGTGCAGTGGGTAGGAGAAGGGAGACGGGCAGTCGACGACAGCCATTGATGTGGCAGCTGCAAGCCGATCAGACTCAGTGCTGATACTGGGGAACGCACGCACCATTTGCAGTATTGTTTAATGGCTCTATCATACTAACTATCTCCGACTTGTATAGTAGAAAGCGTAACAATACATATTATGCGAAATATACAATGCGACTAATCTACAAGAGTGCTAAGCTATCTCGGTCTTCTGCCGCTTGGGAGCAGGTTGACTCTCACCATCGGAATCATCGACAATGATAAGGGGCGAATCGGCGAGACCGAGTCCCGTGGTTTCTGGGACGCCAACCGCCGCCAGTGGAACGATCGCTGAACGACCGGGCATTCCTGGCTTGGGACGGCCACGACCTCGGGGCCGCCCACGAGCTGCCAGAGCTCGCCTTTCCTTGAGAACACGGACCATGTGACCAGCTAGAACTGCGAGTGCTTTCCTGGCCCCCAATTTCTCCAATTCCTTCAAAGTATCGGTGCCCAGGCCGTTGAAGACAGTCGGGTCCAGTATCAGAGTGCGCTCGTGCAAGACCATATAGCCCTCCTTAACAGAATTATTCGGATGAGACGGGGAGTAGTCGGGGTGTGTAGCAGGAATGGGGCCCAGAATAATGGGTACCGACACATCTGCCGAGGTGCTTGCCGGCGAAGCAGTCATATGCGCGGGTGGTGTCGATGCAGGTTTATGAGTTCCAGTTGTCGGTTTAGCGGGTAAAGTAGGGATAGGTACAGCACGAATGGGAGCGGCAGGAACAACAGGTATTGCGGGTTTCGGTGTGGTGGTGGTCAGTAGGTTCACCCTACTCTGCGTTAACGCTGGGTACGGTGGTTTGGCGGTCGGTTTGGGCACCGTGTACGTGTATAGACCATGAGGAAGAGGATTCATAGACAACGCAGGCTTGGGTGTAGCCACAACATGAGGCCTTGCCAGCGATAGGGAAATAGGGACGCTTGTTGTCGCTGACGGGATTGATTTGGCAGCCCACGTCGGCCGCTTGTCTTCGACTGGCGCCGGCGCTGATATCGGGACTGGAGGAATTGCTTTGGCGGACCACGTTGGCCGTTTCGCTTGGGCGGTCTCCGGCGCCGAGGGTAACACAGAAGGAATTGCTTTAGCTGACCAAGTTGGTCGCTTCCCCCCGAGCGGGGAAAAGAAAGCTACATCCGCAGCCGCCTTATCGACCCTGGTCTCGCGGGCGATTGTCTGCTCTTCGACGGCCTCGTTGATCGTCCAAAAGAACCCTTTGCCCTGGGTGGAACGCTCCAACTTCGTGAAGTGTTTATCGGATGAGAGAGTGTGCCGCACGGAACTCTGATTATCATTGAGCCTGGATCAGATTATAGTGCGTTTCACAACGCACCATCCATTTATCGTCCACGTGCTGGTAGTGTTCGTAAGCTTTCATGATCCAATTGCATATCTCTTGCAATGTTCCTTTCCCATCCAGACCCTTGATTGCGAGAAGAATCAATTGTCGTAGAGTGAGAGCGGGTTTCTCCGGGACTTCTCCAGGCGGTAATTTGGGCTTGGGGGGCAAGGGTGGCGAGGACAGCTCCAATTTCTTCCTTTTCTTCGTAGTGACTTTGCTGCCTGGTGATTTGGACGCACTGATTTGCGGGTCTCTCAGAGGCGTCAGAGGCTTGGCGTTGACCGGTGGCGGGGAGCGTGATTGGGGAGAAGAAGGTGGTGAGAGAGACGCGACGTCGATATCGACAGACGGCGAAAGCGGGCGGTTGGTCGAGGAACGTGAGCTAGGAGACGGGCTGTCTTCTGGCGGGGGAGGTGGTGGTAATACAAAGTGGAACGTTCGTGAAGCGATTTGAATTTGTGACCTACAGCTTGTGAGCACACGGCATGCGATGAACTGGCTACAGACCTTTCGCCGAGTGGCGTCCGAGACCCGCGCGCAGACCACACTCCATCTACCCATGCTCCATTTCTTCCGACCACAATGAGAACGAAACGGTCTTCTTCCTGGTCGTATTCTATCTTGGCATGTAAACGAGAGACGCTCTTCAAAGCACCGAGGTCCACGTCGACCTGTGGGCCATCTGGGGCGGAGCTGGACCCAGAGCTGGGGCTACAGCGTCGTCCGATAGTAACCGATAGAGTGCGAACATAGAATGTGACAGTCGGAAAGACAAGAGAGTAGTATGCGGAAATTTTCCCCGCAGCGGGGTCCTCTGCGGTGGAGCCGTTCTGAGGTGAAGTGGAGCAGTCCATGGAGGCGTGATGGCGAACGCGACAACAATCTGCGTTCAAACTTTGGAATGGGTCCGGCAAGGGTCACCGCAGAATAGGAAGCGGACTGTCTCAAGGCGTGACGTAACAAGCACATGCGTCACGCATGGGGATGGTCCGGACTCCGGTTATGTCCGACCTCTGGCAATAGTTTCGAATACAAAAATGCGGTAGAGGACAAGTAGAGGACGGCAAAGATTCAAGGATTCAAGCTATGGAACCTCGTTCGATCACCAGAGTACTTAACGATCAGGTCCTGGTCAAGCGATCCTGGTCGAGCAGCAAGACCTCAGATTTCCCAGACTCCAATGCGTGTTCTATATTGTGCAATTTTGAAGTGTAAGGATAGGTCTACTCATCCGCAGCCTCGACATACTTGCTGCGAATATCCTTCCATTGTTTCTGCATGGCACTAGGTGAGATGAACCGTATGCCAAAACAAAATGCAGCACGCACGCCCTTATTCCAGCGGTCATAGAAAGTGGTCACAGCCGTGTCGAAGCCTATCCCAAACACAAATGCGCCGGCGAAAACGGTGGTGACGAAGACACCTGGGAGAGAGCGAGACGCGGGTCAATCAAACGGGAAGTCATTGCGCGAATTGATTTCTGACTGTTTCGCCTGAAGACGTTGTTGTAGAGAGTCGTGGAGAACTAAGCAAGGAACAATTCAGAGAGCACAAAAAGCAGCGTCGACCTGAGACGAACCGACATGGTGGCGGGAAGTGAGATCGGTGTTTGTAACAGTTGACTGCTTTTGGATTTGACCTTCATGTTGGCCGCACTTTTGCGACCTCCACCGCTGCGGTCTGTGGCTCGGCGTTCTTTCACTGTCTCTTTTCCTCGGTTGGCGGGGAAGCTCCCAGATGTAGGAAATCCTCACGAAACATTCGACGCGTCGCCTTCCCCCGCGGCACCTCTGCATGCATACCCCACTGAACCCTCCGGTGCCATGGATGTCGGCCAATACATGTCCACGGTTTCTCAGGATATCTCCAAGCGCGCTGAACTCTCCGACATAGTACCAGTAGGGCCGCTAAGGAAAGAACGAGTCATCCCGCATCGCCTGCACTGTCATTCGACAAACAGAAATACCATCAATACTTTTACGGATCCCAACGGGAACACTATTTCATGGTTTTCCGGCGGTTCATGTGGGTTCAAAAAACACAACCGCTCGTCGTATGAGGCAGGGTACCAATGCGCTGTGCGGATGTTCGAGAGCATGGCTCCTGTTTTGACGCAGGGAGAAGGGGTCAAGGTGGATCTGTTCTTGAAGGGCTATGGTCAGGGGCGAGACGCGATGCTCAAGGCGCTCATGACGGAACAAGGAGAAAAAGTACGAGGCAATGTAGTGTCCATCACGGACCGCACTCCCATCAAAATTGGAGGAACGCGGTCAAGAAAGATGAAGAGACGGTAGACGTCGGTGTGTATTTCTTGTCAATGATGAAGTTGGTCCTGAAATTCGATTCTAGTCCTGCGGCCGCTCAGAAAAGTACTTCTATACTCTATAGCTTTGCTGTCGGCTCGAAGTGCGCGTCGCTGCTGTACTTCAAATACGCCTCCCGCTGCAGCGAATTGAATCCGACGCGTTTGTCCATCTCTATGTCTTCTATCAATGCCTCTGTTCCAATGTCAGCATTCGAGAATCCAGTTGTGTCTGTCATCTACCCCTAGATGTATAATCAAGCTCTGGCCGAATGTAGCCCAGCACGATGGCTTTCATCTCATAGCCATAGAAGTCGGAGTGGTATTCGTGCATGATGTGAATTTCCTGTGTATTGAATTCACGCGACCCTCTTGCACGCAGATAAGCAAGACTCACGGCTGTGAGGCGCTCGTTTTTATAGAATGGATTCCATCCGAGGCTCATAACCATGGGCTGCACGCTGCGATCCTCCTGACTCATCTCTGAGGGGCCGTCTTTAGACGGCAGTACCTGCGCATAACCGTAGTAGACTCCGGTTTTCGCCACGGTGCTCATGACAGTAATCGATTCGTCTGGTAGATTGGCTATGTCGAGTCAGTTGAGATGTCTCAGCGAGAGATTGGGTCGTTTCGAACCAGTGGGGCATCCCAACTCCTTCCCCCCACGACCGAATCCTCGTTGCACGGGTCCCGACAGGAAGATGGGAAACGGAGCTTCAGGTAGATCCGGCCCTACGATTTCAGGACGGGAAAGCCGAAACTCGGAGGTCTTCTGAGGCGCTTCAGGACGCTCAGCTAGCTGTGCTTGTTCGGCTGCGGTGGGCATGGGAGTAGAAACAAAGTGGGATGTGTGACATGATAATGAGGCGAGTTATGATCAAGATAATCTGGTAGCGCTGACTCATGACCTTGATGCCAACAACGACCTAGTAGTAAGCGAAGCTGTGTGTCCCTTTCCAGTTCGACGACTCGCGATGCAGAGTCAGCCTCCTCCACCCTCGTCATACTACGCGTACCAGACGCCGGCTACGCCTGCTCCTGCTCCTGCGGGATCCTACAATCCATATGCTCAATATTCCACGCAAATTCCCGGCTATTCACAGAGCTACTTTGCGAGCTATCATCTCCCTCCCGCTCCGCCGCCGAAGCCTGCAACTCCCCCTCCCGCTGATTTGCCTCCACCTCCCCCGGATCTCACGTCTATCACACCCGCGGTGGCTTCGGGCGTGGTCCAACGGCTGATAGTATCCGAATTGAAGGCCGCAGGATTCGCGAGCGCGCAGTCGAAGCCAGTGGAACTGCTGGAAAGAAATGTGGTGGCTTGTTCGAGTTCAGCTCTGTGTCTTGACACTGTCTAATCGGGTCGGACAGTTATCGAGCGTCTCTATGAACGTGCACATCAATATGCGAACCTTTCTAACCGCTCCTCCGCCATCGTAACCGACCTAATTCTCGCGTCTGACGAATTCGGCCTTCCACCAGAGGAGCTCAGACCTTTACGGAAGAAACTTGCCAGAAGGAAGAAGAAGGGAAAGGGTGCCTCCTCAAGAACTCTGATGCTTTCGTTCGAGCACTGACCCACTGCAGCACGATCTGCACCAACTCTTGACCCTGCGCCCTCGCGTTCACCATCTCCGGAACGGCTACCTTCAGACGATGAAACTCAACCCGCAATTCCTTTGAGTCTGAGAGGGCTTCCGCACACTTACCCCACGTTGCCACCGAAGCACACATACCTGCGGACACCGGCAAGTCGTGTGTCTCCCAACCATCTTCTGCTCTCATGTGTGATTCCCAGGCATCGCCGCCAAAACGAGCTGCTATTCCTACACTGGAAAAGAAACTCGAAACTGCCGCAAGAGTCCAGACGTCATTGAAAAACCTGATGATCGCCACGGAAGATGCCCAAGGCCAAGAAGATGGTGAATTGTTGGGACACATTGTCAACTGCGAAACCTACCTCCATCCTCGAAAGCGATGGAAACTGACACGCAAGCGCGCAAAGACTTCACACTCAGGATAATTCGGGAAGGGTTGCTACGATGCTGTATATTGTTTGTTCTTAATTCGCATTGCTCTCGTCAGCCGCGGTGGACGTTTGGAATCGGGAAGAACGCCTTCGCGGCAAGTTTTCGAACTTGGTCATGCGAGCTTGAGCTTTTACTCCAGCCGCAGTCGGCTGAGCTGGGCCTCTTACAGCGGACTGCCGAGGTCGCTTGCTCGATGGGCCCGAATCGCTGTCCTCGGAGTCGGCTGCCTTGCGCTTCTTCGACGAAGCTGTGGGTTTCTGCGGCGGACGTCCTTTTTTTGCCTTCGACGTGACATCTCCGACTGGTTCTTGAGTTTCCTTGGCCGAAGCGACCTTCTTTGTGGGCTGGGCTCTCCTTGGTTGGGGACGAGCAGCTTGTGCAGCAACATCACCTTGAAGAGTGTGGTCACGTGTAGGCTGAGGAGTGGCTTGCACGGATTCAGGGACCGGTGAGTTAGCTCCAGAACGAAGGACGCCTGATTGAATAAGTTCCTCGTAACGAATACGACACTAACGCCAATGAGTGAGTTATTGAGATGGAAGCAGTTGACACACCGTATTTCCTGATTTGCCGATCAGACCAGACACCACTTTCCATTTCTTGCCGACTTTTTCCACCGCCTCGGCGAGTTGTTCGTCAGCCTCGTCATCCCAGCCTTCCATTTCTTTGCCTTCAGTCGTTCCATGCACCTGCCATCGCTCGCGACATTGTTCGTGCGTTCGGCCAGGCATGGCGCTCGCAACTTCAGACCAGGACGGTCCATACCCAGCTACCGCAGCCTGTAGCCGTGCGTCCTCTTGAGTTGTCCACGCTCCACGGCGAACCGAAGGGTCCAGAAAACGGGCGTATCTGCCAGAGCATTGCTGAGGCGTAAGATCTGACGCAACAAACTTGGCCACTGCTCAAATTAGTCCGGGCTAGGATGCAGAACATAGTTCGACACACCCAGACTCCACGATTGCCCGTATTGGTTGACGGCATCGAGGATCTTGCGGTCAGATTCCGTAGTCCACGAGTGTCTCGTCCGGCTCGCGCCGTGCCGCATGCAATCGAGAGGGAGACGGTTGGTCTAACGGAGTCAGTGCAAGCAAGACATGGCGCATAGAGATTGAATCTTACCCCTAGTTCGCGTGCGACGTCTACCCAATTGATCGGAGACCCTGCGGGGCGCTTTCCGATGATCGTTTGTAACGTCTGTGTTTCTTGCGAACTCCATGGTTTTTGGTTGCAGTTCGCCTGCCATTTGATGCGGCATTCCTCGGCAGAGCGTGCATATGAAGAGGCGTCAGATACCTGTCCGATGTCATCCATGCCGACTAGATTGAACTCAGAAGATCACACCTTCTCAGCTATGACGGACCAGTTGAGTCTCTTCAGGATGTCAGAGGTACTGGGGAGAGATCTGGATATGATCGCCGGTTTTCGGAGTCCAGCTTACCCTTCGGAAGCTTCAACACGTTTGATCTCAGCCTCGACAGCTCCTTTCAAAGCCTCGTTTTCTTTCGCGGACACTCCTGAGTTTCAGCATCCGAGCTCATTCAGAGGGAAACACGTTACTTACTTGAGTGCCGAGAAATAAAATCAACGTAGCGTGTCCTTTTCAAACCATCCCGATGAAACGGAGAGTCCTGCTCTTGAGTTGCAGGAAGGTGCGTGGAGTGAAGGCGGACCGCACATACAAGATTGTTCAAATTCCTGACGGGTGCGGTCGGCTGCGAGGAGCCCGGGATATAGAAATCGCTATTGAGCTCTGCCTCTTCATCTGGTATATCTGCTTGTGGCTATAGGCGCGGTTTACTAACGGCTGAACAGTTTGGGTTAGGTCAAACAAACAAGAAGCTTGTCGAGCTGATAAAGCTGTGCAGCAAGGGTTTCGGCATGCTTGGCGAGGGCGTACTGATGCTCTTGGTTCGCTCTTAAAGCAGAGAGTGCCAGGTCCTTGGAACTGGCGTCCAAGCCGGATGGCTGAAAGTTGGACATCAAAGATGCGACGCGACACGTGATCGAATGTCTTGACTGCTCAAGTTGACAGCTCTTGACGCGTACCTCCATCCCGAACCGTCGAGGTGACGAAACACGTAAACTATTCCTTTCTACATCCACCAATCGCTTGGAAGACGACCCGGAGATAGTGTTTGGGAAATATGGCTAATGCCTCCGCGAAACGCATCGGTTCGTGTCCTATGGATCCATCCAAGCTCTTCTAACCAACCACCTTTGGATACAGCAAACCAGAATGACGCTGCTGTGAAATACTTGAGGCTTGGAATGATCATCCCCACCGTTGTTTCTCTCATCCTGCGGCTGCTTTTCCGTCGGGGCTCTATTCCACCGTCTAAAGGATCCCTGTTCCTCTACGTCGTCACCTTCTTTCCCTCATTCTTCCTCTCAAACTACTTGATCAAAATCGGCACTCCAAGACGTGATCCCACCACGGGGACCCTCGTGTCTTACGGGGAGGATCTCAATCAGCCAGGTGTCACAGAGTGGTGCTTTGACATCCTCTACATCACCTGCAAGTGACCCGTCTGCTCTCACTCCACTCTAAACTTATCTCGAGATCCCAGGGGCCTGTCAAATTGGTTCGGGTGCCTTTGGTGAATGGTTCTGGTGGTTATACTTGATCGTGAGTCTAGTGCACAAGTGTCTTCTGATCCCTCATCATTCTACACGCGTAGATCCCGCTCTACGCTGTGTTCAAGCTCTGGACATCGGTCATCTCACCCATTTTCTTCGGCCGCTCAGCACCTCCCGTGGAAGAAACCGCAGAAAAGGAATCCACCAGCAAGCGACAAGAAAAACTGAAGAAGCGGGTCGAACGTGGGGATCCCCGAATCCGGGTTCAGAACGGGAAAAAGTAAAACAGTCCACAGTGCTGTATCAGCTGTCTTGAACTGTGACTTTTCTCGGCGCGTAACCTTCTTTTCCACATGGGCTACTGGGAGTGATCGGATCGCCATGGCTTCCGAATCACGATCACGTGGACGATCATAGACATCCGACAAGTAAGTTTTACATGATCCATGCGGAGCTTCAGCTTTGAGGGCGGGAGTGTCGCCAGAGATTCAGACCACTGCGATCGCAATACAAGCACAAGGCAACGAGTGTCCCATCGGCTGCTCATTGAATTTCCTTGGCTAGCAACGAGTAGCTGACTTCATCTGACGGCTGCATTGCTATTTACACGATCCTGAGCTCTCGTCATAGTGATGGGAGATGAGGAGAATGTACGATATATCGACTGTCAGTCGGCCTCACAAGGATCTGGATTGTATATGCACCGACCGGGACCAATCTTTGCAACCGAAATATCTGTTCAAGTGCTTGTGGCACTCGCATCATTCTCAAACTAGTGATGGTGTTGGCCGCGTTTCTTGGACTCTCATCTCTGCGTTTGATGTGGAGGCAAGGCGCCGACTCAGAGGGTTTGAGGTTGATGGGCGCCGATCCTGTACAGACTGTTTATGATATACCTTGAGACAACGATTGTATGGAAACCAGCACAGGGTATAGTAGATTCAATTCTCGTAGTGGAAGCTCGAAGCTCTTTTGCAACCTGGTACACCGCACCACTCAGACTGGCTTATTTTCGGTTCTCTGGCACAGCCGCCCGAGTTGGCCGCATGGCTGTCAACGTCGGAGCGGATCATTACACTGCCCCCTCCGATCAGTAGCAGGCGCTTGTTGTTCGTCACGGTCCACGCATAACAGAGCCATCAGATGGCTTTGTCTCCGTGCATCCCTTTCATACATACGACCAGCTACAGGTCTGCTCAAAACCTCGACCATCTCCTCCCCTCCTCCCATCTCAGGGCCCGGAACGTCACCTGTGAACACCGGCCTGGCATCACGGGTGTCAAACTACATCAGCCAACACGCGCCGAAGCGGGTCGATAGCTTTCAATAGCATCTGCCCACACTCGCCTTCCTTCCATGGTCACCTCCCCCCAAAGTGTCGACCTCGGCAAGGATGCAGCAAGAAGCGGTTCTCCACCTGCACCTGGCGGTGTGCAACCGCTCCCCAAGGGTGCCATGGCAGCACCGACTCCCGGCCTGTCTTTTGCGGCGGCACCAGAACTCAGGCGCTCCGTGAGTTATGCTACCGCAGCGGCTGGATCTTCGATCTCATATTTCAGACCCCCACTGCGCCCGTCACTCCCCCGCAGACCCTTCGCAACGGCTTCTGGACGGCGATGCGTCCCATGGAGTGCAATTCGCCAGCTACCCGGCAGAGACTCCGGATGAGAAGACGAGAAACTTGATTCCGGACGACGAAGAGGTTCTGCCTGCTGGCTGGGTCCCGACTCCACTGCAGAGCTGGTATGCTATCACTCTCGTGGTTGTGCTGCTCCTCCTGGCCATCGTCCTGGAGGTCATGCTCCATATAACGCAACAGAAGAACGGTTAGTGGCGTTGCACCGGAGAAGCACATTCCATTCATGCCAACGGCTGCGGACAGGGTGGAAAACGCACGGCAACGCGACTTCGACGACGGGAGTGATGCACTATGTCTATGTTTGTCGCATATCGGTGCCTCGACGGGAACTGTTTTTTCTGATCTGAATCTAGTCTCTGCCCCCGGTCATTATAGCTGCGGTCGTAAGTCGATGTCCTTGCTGATAAAGCCTATCTGAGTGTCTCTAGATCGTCGCCCTATGGGCTTGGACAGACATCGAGATCAAGAAGATGCAGGTGGGACATCCGCCAAGCACAGCATCGAGATTGCTCACCTCGCCATGCATCCGTAACAGCCTTACGTAGATCTCGCTCATGGTGACGCTCCGCCGCACAAGAGTCTTTTACTGGACTACACGAGATCATCCACCTTTTTTGTCTGGTCATCAGCCATACGGAACCGACACTGGTGTGTGACGGCGGCGTCCATCATGGTCCTCGTGACGCTTACTTTCCAAGTAATGCTTACATTTGTCAATAGTCTGATTTGGAAGTCTGACTTTTTACTGTGTAGCCCCTGACGTCCGCACTGCTTTCAGTCAAAAACACCTGGGTTCAATTGCCGGATGTCACGCTGAACACCATCTCAACCGTTGGGCTCAATCAGAGCACTCAGTTCAACGATCTCACGGGTGAATATTGTCCTACCGATCCTGCGAGGGCTAGACTGATTGAAACCTCAGTTTTCTTGACCGCTGCTGGTTATGCCTCAGCAACTGTCGGCTACAATCTGCAAGAGCCGCCTTTTGTGTTCGGAACCTATACCGTCACACCTTTCAATCTCCCGTACGATATTGTGACGAACGGCACTGGTAAGCAAAACAACCTAGTCGTCTCCTGCCAAGTTCAATCTATCCTAGTAATTACGAACACGACCGCGATACGAACCAACACAAACTGTGTCTCTGCTCCCGTGCAGATGACCAACAACCAAAACGGGACCTGGACCAACACGCTCCAACATAACGGGTGTTCTCTAGCCTGGACTGTAGACCACCGGGCCATCACTCTCTTCGGGACATCGACTCCCGACTGCGGCGACCCGACTCCGCCGCAATTCCAGCCGGTCATTTTCTGGTTCTTCACGTACGACCCGTCGCCGATGTCCTCTGCTACATTTTGCACGCCAGCGATCACACTCTGGAACGCGCAGGTCACCGTCGACTTGGGCAGCGGCAACGTCACTTCCGTCGTCGAGATGAGTCCATTCACAAACTCCTCGCCGTTCGGAAGTCTGGCGGGGAATCTGACCGGCGCCCCTCTCAACGGGCGAGCCTACAACGGAATCAATTTCACTCTTGCCAATCCTGATGGTTTTGTCCTGGACCGTCTGAGTGCCATCCAGCTGACGATGCCCGCTGCAGTCTTCCAGGCGGCTGTCAAATCTTCGGCCGGACTCCAAGGATCTTTCACTGCGGATCTCTTCGTCAACTGGTCAAATGATGTCTACGTGCGTGTCTTGGCCGTCGCTGTCCTTCACAAACTCACGTTGCACTAGAACTCGTACCTCACGCTGATTGCAAAAGCGGTTTATTTCCTTTCAAATACCGAGCCGATTACTATGCACGTGAAAACTTTCCAGCTACGATTGTGGATGAAGTGAGGTCTCCTGTATCCAGTTTCGCAGCAACTGTGCTCATTCGTTCAACCAGCGCCTTCGCTGTCCACGTTCTGACTGTGCTGCTGATCCTTCTGGCTATCGCAGCAGCATTCATCCACATTGTGCATCGTTGGGAGCGGCAGGATCTCAATCTTCTGCATCAACCGGGCACCATCGCCTCGGCGGTGTCCATTGGCGCCGACACGGGCATGGGCCAGCTTCTTGCCCAACACCGGCACGCAGAGGATATCCAGCAGGTGTTGCGGGACAAACGGTTCCGCATTGATCCATTTAGCAATAAGATTGTCATGGATGGCGAGGAAGGATACGAAGTCGTTGGGAGCCCGGTCGACAGACGTCTCAGTGTGTTTGCTGCTATGCAAGGGCGTCGCGCAAGTCGTCGATTCTCGCGAATGCCCGTCTCTCCCTCGCGGACACCACCCCGATCTCCGATGGCCAATCTTGCAGTCTGAATGAACTCTATTTTTACTTCGCACGTCTGTACTTGGGCTGAGATTTGTATTTTTGCTTTCGACACCGTTTACAAATTTGCATTCATCATTTCAAATTATTGTGCCGCGACGCGACGCGCCAGATCATGCTTCCTTGCACCTGCGGCCCAAACCTTTTACCCAAAACAGTCACCCTCGGATGAGCCAGGAATGAGCAGCAGTGAGGCACAAGGGCCGGAGAAGACGAGGTACAACCTCACGATCCCCAAACGGGCATACGTGGTCCCGATGGGCGCTGCCTTGATTGGGGTCATCATCGGTTTGAATCGAGGCGGACGTTTGGCTTCGATGAGATTCTTGGCCGAAAACGCGCACCGAACTCCGACAACGCAAAAGGGGTGGTATTACTACCACAAAACCAAGAACTACCGCGTCATTCTGGGGGGCTTGAAAGGTGCAGCCAGGGACGGAGCGTACGTCGGGGCCGTGACGGGCGGCTGGGTGGGTCTGGAGGAAGCCTTTCGGGCCATGGGATGGGGGGAAGTTGCCATGAGTGGAGCCGGTGTCGGGACTGCCGGAATGTTCTCTGGGTTGTGTAAGTGAGGGAATTATGCTGTGGTTTGTGGTGCTGAACAAATCCCATGCTAGACCGGCTGCCATGGAAGACTGCGCGGCAAACGCTATTGTTGGGGCTTGTCGGAGGTGTTAGCATGGATATCTTGAGATATGTTATAGATACGGAGTCGACGCCGTCTTGATTGTTCTTCCCTGAATTTTACCCCCCCACCGTCTACCCGCCCCCTTGTGTCAGTGTTCCGTGGGTAGTGAAAAGTGGAGAGGATCTGATTCGTGATTACGAGTTGTGGAGCAAGATGAGCCACTGTTATCCTCTCTCTCCCAGACACCATCCCTGGCCTTTCGCGCTATCTTGGCCGTCTGCCTTAGCCTCCGCGAAAATGATCAAGCTATGGCCCTCTTCACCGGCCGACCCGCAACTAACGCCCCGTGCGTCACTTATCCCAGAAAGGAATCCATTCGAAGAATCTCTCTCCCACCCTCCACCACCACCGAAATCTCCCACTTCCTACCACCACCAGCTCTTGACTCCTACCTCAGAGCAGATTACTCCCCTGGCTTCCCCAGCCCCAGCTTTCGCTGCTGCGGCATTACCCACGACCTCGCTCTCTCTCCATGCGCCAGAATTCAACATGCAGACACCACCGAAACGATTCCATTCCTCTTCAAACAAGTCCGCAGCGTCACAGACACCGGCCTCCTCGTCGTCCAACGGCTCTTCAGCCACGTCTAAAGGCAAATCCGCATAAAACTCATCCAAGCGCGAGGCCTGCATGTGCGACCGAACGCATGTCCGTATGTCGTCGTCGAGTTTGAGCAGAACGAGTTCGTCAGTCGAGATCCGATTGAGGAGACGGAAAAGGAGGTGAAAGGCACCCCGACCTCCCTCAGCACAGTCTCCAGCGCCGTGTCATCGTTGAACACCATCAACTCTAAGGCTGCCGCTGCTGAGGCCAGGAGTCGGAGAGGGAGTAAGAGCAGCAACAAGAGCACCAACTCGTCGCCGTCGTCGTCCGTGCCGAAACCTGCCGCGCTGAGCAACGGGCTTGCGTATGCAAACGGGCACAGCACTTCACACACCAATGGCACCACCGGAGGCCTATTCGGCCGGATCTCAGCCAACAATCCAGTGTGGAAGCACGAAGTATCCTTGTACGTCTCCTTCCTGCTCTCCACACAGCATGCATTACCATTACTAATTGAATTATGTGTACAGTGATGTTACGTCTGGAGCCTCGCTTATTTCGTTCAACGTCTACGACCGGGGTGCGGTCGAGCACGGGTTCTTGGGCACGGTGCAAATCAAGCCGGTGCTGATACACGATCACAGTGTCGACCAATGGTACAAGTGGGTGACGACACAACTGGGCTGACAGACGGATTGACTGACACCCTTCCCCACAGATTGGAGCCCTTCGAAAACGAGGTCGTAAGCGGGGAGATGCGTGTCCAAGTAACATTTGAGCAGAACAAGGTCCGTTGCGCAACGGCTATCACGACGGCGACCATGTGCTGACGGGGGGACTGTAGACTAAGCGGACATTGACACCGCGAGACTTTGAGTTCCTCAAGCTCATTGGACGGGGGACATTCGGCAAAGTGTTTCAAGTCCGCAAGCGAGACACGAAGCGGATATACGCGATGAAGGTGTTGTCTAAGCGGGAGATCATCGCCAAGAAAGAGGTCGCACACACAATAGGAGAGCGGAAGATTCTACAACGCTCCCTGGAGTCTCCATTCCTCGTTGGTCTCAAGTTCAGTTTCCAGACTGACACCGATCTTTACCTCGTGACGGACTTTAAGAGTGGTGGAGAGCTGTTCTGGCATCTGCAGCGGGAAACGCGATTTAACGAGGAGCGCGCTCGGTTCTATATCGCCGAGCTCATTTTGGCGCTCGAGCATCTGCACAAGTACAACATCATTTACCGGTGCGTTCCCAGAGTATCAACTCACATTTGGTGCTGATACCGGTTTTTAGTGATCTCAAGCCTGAGAACATTCTTCTAGATGCGACTGGACATGTCGCCTTGTGCGACTTCGGTCTTTCGAAGCCGGATCTCCGCCCCGATGAGCTAACAACCACGTTCTGCGGAACAACGGAGTACTTAGCTCCCGAGATGCTATTGGACGAGCAGGGCTACTCGAAAGTGGTCGACTTCTGGTCTCTGGGCGTGTTGCTGTTCGAGATGTGCTGCGGATGGAGTCCGTTCTACGCGGAGGACACCCAACAAATGTACAAAAACATTTGCTTTGGGAAGATCCGCTTTCCCAAGGTGCGATTAATGAGGACGGCAAACAGTTCGTCAAAGGGGTTCGTAGCCAGCTTCTTCCTATGATTAGTTGTCTCACGCATTGTTTTCCAGCTTCTGATCGCAATCCCAAGAACCGTCTCGGGGCTGTCCGAGACACTGCCGAGCTGAAAGAGCATCCGTTCTTCTCCTCGATCGACTGGGATGCATTAGCGAGGAAGCAGGTGCCGCCCCGTTCAACCTGTCGTCGAGTCGGATGAATCGACAGCCAACTTTGACGAAACGTTCACGTCCGCAGACCTGCATGATGTGGGGGTTGACATCGACATCGACGAAGCCGACCCGTCGGAAGACTGGGTGCTTGCAGGCTCTCTGACGCAGCACCAGTTCAACGGCCCACTC